GCGTAAGTGATCCACCGAGAGAGCACGAGAGGGGACCCCTGGAAGCCAGACTGCCAAGCTGGGGTCGGCCTCTCCGCGTTGGGTTGCTTCGACTGCAGGCGCTGTATCGTCCCCTGTGTATCTGGGGCTGCCTCCGCGGACTCGAGAGCCGCGCGACGCCCGTGAGGTCTCATTGCACGCTGCCAGACGGAAGGCAACGTGCAATGCGGCGCTCATCTGCTGTAGAGGGATCGGTGGCGGTGCGTGACCGGTGACCTGTGCGCCGAGGAAAGGGGTGTGCGACGGCCTAGTGCATCTGAGACTAGCTCAGCCCACTCACCTCGACCAAAGCGGGAGATGCGCGTTGCAATGGCAGCCGTGTGCGACGCACTCGCGTCGGGTGGCGTCGCTGGAACAAGGAAAAGGGTCGGCACTGCAGCGAGGAGGAAGGTAGGGCCAGCAGCTCCGGGTCCTGGGCAATGCGGACTAGGATCGCACTGAGGACGTCGAGATATCCTCCGCGGACCCTCTCCGGGACACGTCGGAGAGGGCGTGCATGGATACGCTCGGGCGAAGAAGTACTCTGTCCAGTCCACCGAGTCGAGCGTCTGCCACGTGCGTCGGTGAACTGTATCCCGGTCGCACGGGGCTGTGAGAGGGAAGGATGATCGAGGCGGTGTCCTGGGCAGCCTGCGCCCTGCGAGCCGCGTCCGCAGGATGGCAGAAGGGAATGTGGGTGGGAGCGCGCGTCGGTTCGCGAGAGAGCTCCTGCAGGTGGGGCAACTCACGACCTGGTCGGGTGATGTCGCGTGTCGGCGGTGTCAATCGGGGCGTGGCGTCGGAACTGGCTGTAGAGGGGACCCCGTGGGCGGCCTGAGCTCCGAGAGGAATCGCCTGGGATGAGGGGAGGAGACGACTCACAGCCCGTGCATGGGGGTGCCAGCGAAGATAGAGAGTGCTGTCTGTGGTCGCACAGGCTAGGGCACAGGATAGGGCCGGGACCTGGTCCGCGTACCGGTGTCGAAGCTGGGGAGGGGGGACGTGGAGGTGAGCCTGAAGTGTGTGCCGTGTGTGTGCTCATGCCCCTCGGCGGGGTGCGGTTCAAGTGACGGCTCTGCTACCCCAGGCGGAGGGGTCTCGGTAGGGGCGGATGCCTCATCCCTACTGCTGGTGACCTCCTGCGCCACGGGCTGAACGGGGGGAGGCGCCACCCCGTCTAGGTGCGAGTGACACGGCCTCAGACCCCGGTCCGTCTCCATTGGGGTCGGGAGTGACGCGCCTGGCTGAGTGGCGGGGGGGTATAAAAGAAGGGACAGACCGGGTGACCTCCGCATACGTCCGGGTCCGGTCCTGTGGGACTGGAAGGGTGGGGGCAGCCGGAGAGAGCTGCTCAGGCGGTGTATCGCCAGCAAATCTGAAATGCCAGCCCTCACCTCCTCTGGGGTCCTCGAAGACCTGCCTGCCTGTAGGTGAGAGTAGGAGGGCTGGCAGGGTAGAGGGTGGAGTGGGGCGTGCTGGCTGAGCGGAGCTCGGTGTGGACCCTGCCCTAGAAGGCCACCCTTGGCCCTCCCCAATCACCATGGGTTGCGGTAGAGGGGTCGTCGACATGGAAGGGGTGGGAGGGATGGGAGGGGGAGGTCGGTGGCGTCTGCCATGGGCGCATCCCTCAACCCGACGGCCCCCCTCCCAGTAGCGATCGCGGCCGCCGCCACCTGGGAGGGGGGACACAAGCACGGGAGGGGCAGAATGGGGGTGAGTGGGCTGGTCCGCTCCCCATGGCCCTGTGGAGGTGCAGTGAGCGGGGCGGGAGTGTAGGTTTGGTGGACGGGCTGTAGAGGTAGGGCCTGGTAATTGTTCAACGGGATGTGAGGTGGGGAGGGGCTCTTGGTGGGGGAGGGAGGGAGGGGGGAGTACGTGGGCTGACCCTCTGCCTCCTCTGCCCCTGTTCTTCCGCCGGCGGCCAACCTGGTTGTCCGCGCCTGTTTGTGAAGGAAGGGGGGGCTGTGGGGCCAAAGGGGTGGTGGAGGGAGGATGGGTGGTTCGCCAGGCAGGGGGTGCTCTGTGTGCATCCCCACTCTCCTCGAAACATCCCCCTCCGTGGGAACAGATCGGGCAAGCTGTGTGTGGGGGGTGATGGCTGCCCAACGGGGCCACTCGTGGGGAAACCCGGCCGGGGAGAGGGGGGTTTGGAGGTGGGGGTCGAGGGGGCTGGGCCAGTGTGGAGGTTTAGAGCGAGGTACAACGGTGGGGGGAGAGAGATTTGTGTGGGCTCTGTGGTGGCCTCTCCTGTGGGCCCCTCTACCCGGGTGCCGCCGCTCCCATGAGCCTGGGGCGCAAGCCCTTGCGGGTGGGTCTCGGCTGCCTGGGGGGGGTGGTGTGGGGAGGGCAGCCTGTTGGGTGGGCGTGTTGGGGCTGTGCGGCGACTCGGGTGGTTTGGGTGCCTGTAGCGTGTGGGAGAAGGGATTTGGCCGCAGAGATGCTTCAACCTCCGAGATGTGTGTACTACCGGGTGGGGGGGGGCCTGGTGGAGGAGGGGGTAGTGGGCCGGTAAGGGGTGGCTGGGTGTTGGTAGGAGTCGGGGAGCATGGCTCCTCTAGGAAGACCAGAGCCCTGGCTGCTCCACGTGGTGCTCTAAGGAGCCCCTGAGGGTGGGGGCAGAGGTGTGCTGCCCTTGGGGGTGAAGGAAGGAGTGAGGGAAGGGGCGGGGGAGGGGTGAGAGGTGAGAGAAGGGGTGCCCTCGGGTGACTCTGCTCTTGTCGCACCCGCGTGCTCTCCCGGTGGACCGCCTGCAACCGTGGGGTCAGGCGTTGGGGACGGAGAGGGGGGCTGGCCATGGAGCAGCGTGGGGGTCGGGGAGCACGGCTCCGCCAAGAAGGCCAGGGCCTTGGCTGCCCCCCTGGACACTACCGGGACCTGAGGGTGGGGGTGGGGAAGTGGTGCTCCTGGGGGCTGGTGGGCTGGAGGACGGGAGGTGAGGATGGGGGCTCCCTCGCGCGGCTCTGTCCTCAAGGTCTCCCCCAGCCCCTCCATCGGTCCTTCTGCTAGCATGGGGACGGGCATGGGGGGTAGAGGGGGAACCTCGACGTGAGGCTGCAGGGGGGCCGGGTCGGCCTCACCGTCAAGCGTGAGGTATTGGGCCAGTGGCCCGTCAATGTGCATCACATCCTCTCCCTCATCCTCCTCTATCGCTATCACATCCCCCTCTTCAGTGCCCACCCCGGTCGGGACCACCCTCCCCTCTCCTTCCCTGTTGCCCCTATGTCCCCCAAGCCCACCCCCGCCTGCTGCCGCTTTACTGCTAGCCCCTTTTGCAGTCTCTGCCGGCCCTGCCGGCCCTGCTGTGTGTTTCCCCGAGTTTGCTGCGGCCCCTGCCGCCCCTACTGGCCGTGCTATGGCCCTCCCTGCTGCTTCAGCTGCAGCCTCACCTTCTGCCTTTGAGGCCCCTGCCGTACCCTCTCTTGCTACAGCCGGGGCGGCACTCTCCCTCGCACCAGTCCCCCGTTACCCCCTTCCCCGCTGCACCCGTAGCACCTCCCCCTATACCAGCCCCCGCTGTGGCCTCTGTCGCTCCTGCTGCAGTCCTTGCAGCCTCGACTGCTGCAGTCTGTAAAACCTCGCCTACCGTAATCTGCTCAGCCTCACCAGCCGCGATCCCTGTAGCCTCACGTGCTGCAGTCCCTGCAGCCTCACGTGCTGCAGTCCCTGCAGCCTCACCCGCTTGCCAGTCCCTGCGGCCTCACCTGCTGCAGTCTGTGCAGCCTCACCTGCTAGAATCTGCTCAACCTCACATGCTGCGGCCTCTGCAGCCTCACCTGCTGCGGCTATTTCAGCCTCACCTGCTGCGCTCCCTGCGGCCTCACCTGCCATGGTCCCGCCTGCAGCCTCATCCGCTGTGGTCCCTGCCGCCTCACCTGCTGCAGTCCCTGCGGCCTCACCTGTTGCAGTCCATGCGACCTCACCAGCTGTAGACTGTGCAGCCTCACCTGCTAGAGTCTGCCCAACCTACATGATGCAGCCCTCGCAGCCTCACCTGCTGCGTCCGCCGCAGCCCTCACCTGCTGTGGCCCCTGCAGTCCCGGCCTGCTGCGCTCCCTGCAGCCTCGCCTGCTGCGCTCCCTGCAGCCTCGCTGCTGCGCTCCCTGCGGCCTCACCTGCTGCGCTCTCTGCAGCCTCACCTGCTGCGCCCCCTACAGCCTCACCTGCTGCGCTCCCCGCAGCCTCACCTACTGCGCTCCCTGCGGCTCTCACCTGCCATGGTCCCTCCTGCAGCCTCACCCGTTGTGATCCCTGCAGCCACACCTGCTGTGGTCTGTGCGGCCTCACCTGGTGCGGTCCCTATAGCCTCCTCTGCTGCGTTTCCCCCCAGCCGACGCAGCAGCAGGGTTCCGTGGCCCCTACTCCTGCAAAACCTGTCTCCATGGCCTCTGCCCTTTTGCCCTGGCCAGAGTCACGGTCCCTGCCGCCCCTTCCCGTGCAGCCCCTGCCGCCCTTTCCCGTGCAGCCGCTGCTGCCCCTTCCCTTGCAGCCTCTGCTGCCCTTTCCTCTGCAGCCTCTGCTGCCCCTTCCCCCACAAACCCCATTGCCCCTTCCCGTGCAGCCTTTGCTGCCCCATCCTCTGTAGCCTCTGCTGCTCCTTCACACACAAACTCACTTACCCCTTCCCCGTGCAGTGTCAGCTGCAAGTTCCCCCCTGGCTCTGCCCTCCTCCCGCTTTCTATGTGCTTGGGGGTTGCGGGTCCAGTGGGGCTTGGCGTTCCTCTGTTCCATCCTCTTCAAAGGTACGCTTCTGGCCCCTAGGGTCAGATTGTGTGAGTGTTTTCGCTTGGTCAGGTGTGTGTTGTTTCTTCCTGACTGTTGTACTGGGCAGAGAGCAGTACTGGGCTGGGTGACCTCCCGGGAAGTCCTCGTGTTGTACCCATTTATGCCCCTTGCTCGGCACGTGCCGGGGGAGGGGCAAGCGGGAAAAAGAAAGGACGATTTTAGCGCGTCCGATTCTTTTCTTTTCGTTTTTTTGCCCAAACAACGACCCAGCGGGGTGGGGGGCCCCCGGGGAGGCTTGCCCATGCGAAGAAACGCCCCGTGCGCACCACCGTTGGGCGGTTGGAAGCCGCACACGGTCGCGGGGGTGGAGAGCGGAAACGGGCAGCCGGGGAGGGTGGGGGCGGTTGGATGGGACTTGGGGTGTACGGGGGGCAGGGGAGTTGAGGGGGCAAGGGGAGGGGCAGCAACGGGCAGGGGCTGGGCCAACTGAGGGCACGGAAAAGGGGCGGGCAGAGGGTGAGCAGAGGGGCGAGCGATGCAAGGGTGGCACCATAGGGGGGAAAACCAGTTGCACGGAGGTGGGAGGTGAGGGGCGTGCGAGGGGGTGGGAAAGGGGCAGGGAGGGGCAGAATGGGAGGATGTAGGTGGGGGGGGGTGGGGGGAGGGGAGTGTGCGTGTGTGTGTGTGTGTGAGAAAGAGAGAGAGAGAGAGAGAGAGAGAGAGAGAGAGAGGGAGGGGGGATTGAAGGGTGGGAGGGGGGCTGGTCGTGGGGATGGGCTGATGGTGGTAAGAGGGCAGCAGGGATGGGGAGAAGGGAGCGTAACGAGGGGAGAGCAAAGGGCAGGGGGGGAGGAAGGGAGGGGCAGGGAGGGAAGAGGCTGAACGTACAAAGGGGGGAAACGAGGGGCATGGATGATAGGAAACGAGGGCAGGGGTGTGGGAAATCAAGGGCAGGGAGGAGAGAAGCAATGGGTGAGGGGAAAACAAGGGAGGGGCAGACGGGGGGCAGGGAGGGAAGAAACGTGGGGCAGGGAGGGGAGAAGCCAAAGACAGGGGCATGGGCAGGCGGGGGCAGGGAGGGAGCAAAGGAGAGGCACGGAGAAAGAAAGGGAGGCGCGGGGAGGGGAGAAACCGGGCGTGGGGGGGGGGGGGGCGGAAAATGAGGGGCAGGGCGGGGAGGAGGGAGGGGCAGGGAGGGGAGAAGCTGAGCACACGGAGGGGGGAAAGGTGAGGCAGGGAGGTAGGAAGCCAAGGACAAGGGGGGGGGGAGAGTGGGGGGGGCAGGGAGAGGGGGGAGGTGGGGAGCGGGGAAAGGCGGCGAGGGGCAGGGAGGGGAGAAACCAAGCATAGGGGGGCGAGATACGAGGGGCAGGGTGCGGATTGAGGAGGGGCAGGGAGTGGAGTGGGTCGGCGAGGGGAAGGAAGAGGCGTGCAGCAGAGGAGGGGAGGGGGGAGGAGAAGGTAAAGGAGGGGAGCGCACGGGCGGGGAGGAGCGAATGGCGGGCGGTGGAAACGGCGAGGGGGGGCAGGGAGGGTCAAAAGAGGCGGCAAGGGAGCGGGCACGCGGAGGGTAGGGGCGGGGGGAGCGGATGGCATGAGGGGGCAGGGGGTGTGACTATGAAGGGGGGGACCCGGGCAAGGGGTGTGTAGCGGTCGGGGCACGAGGTTGACGTGGTACGATCATACCTCGGCTACTACGCCGGATCCCATCAGAACTCCGAAGCTAAGCGCCGGTGGGCGAGAGCAGTTATTCATTAATAAGGGAAGAGCAAATACAAGCCGAATATAATGGTTTTTCCAAGACTAGGAAATTTCGACATAGCCTAATCGCTATGAGGACGATTATATATTTTGTAGGAAAAGGGGGAAAGAAAGGAAAGGAAGGAAAGATGAAGGAGTAAGAAGAAGTGGTAGGGAAAGGAAGAGGGTGGTAGGAAGAGAAGGGAAGGATAGAAGAAGGGAACAGAAAGAGGGAGGTGGGAAGAGAAGAGGAGAGAGAGAGAGAGACTAAGGAGGAGGAAGCACCAAAGGACCAAACACGGCAGCAACCCGCACGACCGCACGGGCACAGCGTTTCAAGCACAGCCACTATTGTTTTTTACACATATGCATCATATATATACTGCATATCAGCCACACTCTCGAAGCACCCTGTGACGTGGTGCCAAGTTCCCTGCCCCGCACCCAGTGGGACTGGTGCGGGCATCCACCCGTCGTCGGACCTCCCTAACTGCCGCACCGCATGCTGGATCATGCATTGAGCCTGCGCGCGCTGCAGTGCAACGGAGAGGCGTGTAGTGAGTCCTGCCTCAAATATCCGTGCCGATCCGTCATCCCCCCCACCTCTATCCCTCCTCCGCTGTGCTATCCTCTTTGCGCAGAGCCCCAGAAACTGACGCAGCGGCTCACTCAGAAGGCCAAAGGTCTCCGCCACGCACGCGTAAAAGTGTGGTGCCGGCTGCAGCCCCTCTAAGTGCGGCCCCCAGTGACGCAGCTTCTCCTGCACCCGCCTAGCTGCTGCCACTCCAATCTGTGTGGGGGTCGCCCGTCTCAGCTGCACGTTCCCCTCCCGCTGTGGATCCGCTATGGAGACATCCACAAGAACCATCAGACCCTGGCCAACGTCGCGGCAGGTGAGGTCTGGAATGCGGGAGGCGGTGCCTACACGGCCTGTGCGTCCGACTGGTCCCTGCTGTTGCGCTGGCTGCTGCCCTGTCTGGTCCCTTGGTGCCCCCTCTCCGATCGTCTCTCTCCCCCTCTCCTCTCCTCCATCCACCTGTCCTCTCCCCTCCCCCTCCCTACCCTCCCCCAAACCTCCCGACCCCCCTGCTCCATCCCCTGCTGCCTCTCTCACTCCCTGGCCCTCCCCTCCCAATCCCGCTGCCCCTCCTGTACCTCCGTCCGCTCTCTGCTGCTCCCGCCCCTGCCCCGCCCCCGAGGCCGAACCTGGAGGCGCGGCGCCCTGGGCCCGCGGCCTCCACTGGCTCTCCTGCTGCTGCCTGTGCCGTCCCCCCTCCCCGTCCTGGCCCGTCTGCTCCCCCTGCCGTCCCCTCTGCCCACCTGTCCCTCGCTCCACCTGACCCCGCAGCTGGTGCCGTCCCCACTGTCCCCCGCCACCCGGCTGTCCCGCCTCGCCTCTCCGCTCCCCCGGTCCCTCAGCCCGTGTCCCCTCTCCCACCACTGGCTGTCCCAGTAGTCTCGCTCGAGCCGCCTCCAACTGTGTGAACAGCGTAGAGTCCTCCACCTTTACCGCGAAGCCCGCCTCGACCGCAAAGTCTCGAAGCATGTACTTCACCGTGTCGTGGATGGTAGTGGCGACCCCGTAACGCGGGCACCGAACCGCGTGATGAGGCACCGTCATGTCGTCAATCGCCTGTCCGCAGGAGCACTGACCTGCAAGGGCTAACTGGGGGATAGGGAGACCAAGACGAGAAGATGAAGCCGCCTGCCACAGCGCCTCCGGGATGCGCAGTGGGTCAGCGTACGGCACCGACGTCAACCACGCTCCTGCACCTCCGCCCTGAAGGGAAGTCAAACGGGCAAGGTGCAAGGGAGAGGTGTGACGGGCACGCACGGCCTCCAAGGCATGCGCCTCCAGAAGACGGCTCGCTCCTGCAAAAAGGGAATCGGGGGAGGCAGAAGCGCAAGAGGGCCAGGGGGGAAGGAGAGAGAGAACGTCAGGAGGGAGACCCTCTAGCGCCGTCTGCAGAGCCCGGTCGATCTGCTCTGGCTCACCTGAAGCGAAGCTCTGCCGAAACACCTCGCCACACGCAGGGAGGAGAACAGAGAATGGGTGCACACTGCACCCAGGAGCACACGAAACTCACCGGGGCAATGCGCGCCATGCGACGAATGCCGAAACCCCCGAGACGGATGGGGAGGAAGATCTGGTCTAGGGCGGCCTCTCGGACGTCCTCGCGACAAGCCCAGGTCCCTGAAGCTAAAAGCTGCTGAAAAGTCTCTCCCAGGCGTGCGTCCCACCGTGTAAAACTGGAGATCACTGCGGGCGAAGGAGGGACGGTCCTCGACAGGTACTGCGGACGAGTGCTGACACACGCCGAAAGAAGGCGGGCAGCTGTCTGGGGCTGGCGCAACCTCGGAAGCCAAGGTAGCACCCGCCCCATCCTCTCGAGACGATCCGGGAGACTCTGCTCCACGAACGAAACGGTGCCTACCGGTACGCCTGTCACGGTGAGCCCTCGGCGTGCGACCTCGATCCCTAGGCCCGTGAAAGCCTCCAGATCCCTGGACAGAAAGGACTCTGTCTGGTAGACGAGGCACTTGTGCGGCTGGGCTGCAAGGCCCATCTCGCCCAAGCGCCTCACGATCTCGGCAAAATGGTGCAGCACCCTGTCTGGGGGACCTAGCACGTACGTGTCATCGGCGTACGACCAGAGCTGGACATCCCCCTCCGCCAGAACCGGCTCCAAAGCAAGACGCTGTGTCAGAGCGTACAAGAAGGGGCTGAGAGGGTCTCCCTGGCGAGTGCCCCGCTCCGAGTGCATCGTGACCACTCCCGTGCCTGACCTGTAGTGGAGATCCGAGGGCGTCCCGTAGAAGAGGCCGATGAAGGGGATCAGACACTGAAACTCCGGACTGGCCTGCAGCGCCTGAAACATCCTGTCTCGGTGGAAAGAGTTAAAGGCATTCGCCACGTCTAGCTGCAGGACCACCCAGTCTGGGTGGTCAGCCAGAGCGCGGCGGACGCCTCTAACTACGACCTCTGTCCCGCACGTAACCCCCACCCCAAACTGCTGTGATGCCAAGAAGACCCTCGCCATCTGGTCACGTAGCTGGAGACAAACTGCCCGAGAAAGAATGCGGACCAAAACCTCGCCGATGGCAATCGGCCGAACATCCATGTTCGACTTCGCCAGAGCCACGAGGGTGGAGGACGCTAGCAAGGAGCGCGCAGCTGGAGCGCAACGGCCTCGGAGCCACTGCTGGTACACGGCCAGGAGGAAATGGAGACTCTGAGGGAAAGCTAGGAAAGTGTCTCGCAGGTGCTCAGCGACCCAACCGGACGGTCCTCCCGAAGAGCCCCGCGGAGCTGTGAAAATCGCGCGGCGTAAGTGATCCACCGAGAGCACGAGAGGGGACCCCTGGAAGCCAGACAGCCAAGCTGGGGTCGGCCTCTCCGCGTTGGGGTGCTTCGACTGCAGGCGCTGTATCGTCCCCTGTGTATCTGGGGCTGCCTCCGCGGACTCGAGAGCCGCGCACGCCCGTGAGGTCTCATTGCACGCTGCCAGACGAAGGCAACGTGCAATGCGGCGCTCATCTGCTGCAGAGGGATCGGTGGCGGTGCGTGACCGGTGACCTGTGCGGCGAGGAAGGGGTGTGCGACGGCCTAGTGCATCTGAGACTAGCTCAGCCCACTCACCTCGACCAAAGCGAGAGATGCGCGTTGCAATGGCAGCCGTGTGCGAGCGGTCGGGTGGCGTCGCTGGAACAAGGAAAAGAGTCGGCGCTGCAGCGAGGAGGAAGGTAGGGCCAGCAGCCTCCGGGTCCTGGGCAATGCGGACTAGGATCGCACTGAGGACGTCAAGATATCCTCCGCGGACCCTCTCCGGGACACGTCGGAGAGGGCGTGTATGGATACGCTCGGGCGAGAAGTACTCTGTCCAGTCCACCGAGTCGAGCGTCTGCCACTGTGCGTCGGTGAACTGCATCCCGGTCGCACGGGGCTGTGAGAGGGAAGGGATGATCGAGGCGGTATCATGGGCAGCCTGCGCCCTGCGAGCCGCGTCCGCAGGATGGCAGAAGGGAATGTGGTGCTGGAGCGCGCGTCGGTTCGCGAGAGAGCTCCTGCAGGTGGGGCAACTCACGACCTGGTCGGGTGATGTCGCCGTGTCGGCGGGGTCAATCGGGGCCGTGGCGTCGGAACTGGCTGTAGAGGGGACCCCGTGGGCGGCCTGAGCTCCGAGAGGATCGCCTGGGATGAGGGGAGGAGACGACTCACCAGCCCCGCGCGGGGGGGGTGTCAGCGAAGATAGAGGTGGTGTCGCACAGGATAGGGCCGGGCCTCGTGCCGGTACCGGTGTTGAAGCTGGGGAGGGGGGACGTGGAGGTGAGCCTGAAGTGTGTGCCGTGGTGTGCTCCTGCCCCTCGGCGGGGTGCGGTTCAAGTGACGGCTCTGCTACCCCAGGCGGAGGGGTCTCGGTAGGGGCGGATGCCTCATCCCTACTGCTGGTGACCTCCTGCGCCACGGGCTGAACGGGGGGAGGCGCCACCCCGTCTAGGTGCGAGTGACACGGCCTCAGACCCCGGTCCGTCTCCATTGGGGTCGGGAGTGACGCGCCTGGCTGAGTGGCGGGGGGGATAAAAGAAGGGACAGACCGGGTGACCTCCGCATACGTCCGGGTCCGGTCCTGTGGGACTGGAAGGGTGGGGGCAGCCGGAGAGCTGCTCAGGCGGTGTATCGCCAGCAAATCTGAAATGCCAGCCCTCACCTCCTCTGGGGTCTCGAAGACCTGCCTGCCTGTAGGTGAGAGTAGGAGGGCTGGCAGGGTAGAGGGTGGAGTGGGGCGTGCTGGCTGAGCGGAGCTCGGGTGTGGACCCTGCCCTAGAAGGCCCCCTTGGCCCTCCCCAATCACCATGGGTTGCGGTAGGGGGTCGTCGACATGGAAGGGGTGGGAGGGATGGGAGGGGGAGTCGGTGGCGTCTGCCATGGGCGCATCCCTCAACCCGACGGCCCCCCTCCCAGTAGCGATCGCGGCCGCCGCCACCTGGGAGGGGGACACAGCACGGGAGGGGCAGAATGGGGGTGAGTGGGCTGGTCCGCTCCCATGGCCCTGTGGAGGTGCAGGAGCGGGGCGGGAGTGTAGGTTTGGTGGTCGGGCTGTAGAGGTAGGGCCTGGTAATTGTTCAACGGGATGTGAGGTGGGGAGGGGCTCTTGGTGGGGGAGGGAGGGAGGGGGGAGTACGTGGGCTGACCCTCTGCCTCCTCTGCCCCTGTTCTTCCGCCGGCGGCCAACCTGGTTGTCCGCGCCTGTTTGTGAAGGAAGGGGGGGCTGTGGGGCCAAAGGGGTGGGTGGAGGGAGGATGGGTGGTTCGCCAGGCAGGGGGTGCTCTGTGTGCATCCCCACTCTCCTCGAAACATCCCCCTCCGTGGGAACAGATCGGGCAAGCTGTGTGTGGGGGGTGATGGCTGCCCAACGGGGCCACTCGTGGGGAACCCGGCCGGGAGAGGGGGTTGGAGGTGGGGGTCGAGGGGCTGGGCCAGTGTGGAGGTTAGAGCGAGGTACAAACGGTGGGGGGAGAGAGATTTGTGTGGGCTCTGTGGTGGCCTCTCCTGTGGGCCCCTCTACCCGGGTGCCGCCGCTCCCATGAGCCTGGGGCGCAAGCCCTTGCGGGTGGGTCTCGGCTGCCTGGGGGGGGTGGTGTGGGGAGGGCAGCCTGTTGGGTGGGCGTGTTGGGGCTGTGCGGCGACTCGGGTGGTTTGGGTGCCTGTAGCGTGTGGGAGAGGGATTTGGCCGCAGAGATGCTTCAACCTCCGAGATGTGTGTACTACCGGGTGGGGGGGGGCCTGGTGGAGGAGGGGGGTAGTGGGCCGGTAAGGGGTGGCTGGGTGTTGGTAGGAGTCGGGGAGCATGGCTCCTCTAGGAAGACCAGAGCCCTGGCTGCTCCACGTGGTGCTCTAAGGAGCCCCTGAGGGTGGGGGCAGAGGTGTGCTGCCCTTGGGGGTGAAGGAAGGAGTGAGGGAAGGGGCGGGGAGGGGTGAGAGGTGAGAGAAGGGGTGCCCTCGGGTGACTCTGCTCTTGTCGCACCCGCGTGCTCTCCCGGTGGACCGCCTGCAACCGTGGGGTCAGGCGTTGGGGACGGAGAGGGGGGCTGGCCATGGAGCAGCGTGGGGGTCGGGGAGCACGGCTCCGCCAAGAAGGCCAGGGCCTTGGCTGCCCCCCTGGACACTACCGGGACCTGAGGGTGGGGGTGGGGAAGTGGTGCTCCTGGGGGCTGGGTGGGCTGGAGGACGGGAGGTGAGGATGGGGGCTCCCTCGCGCGGCTCTGTCCTCAAGGTCTCCCCCAGCCCCTCCATCGGTCCTTCTGCTAGCATGGGGACGGGCATGGGGGGTAGAGGGGGAACCTCGACGTGAGGCTGCAGGGGGGCCGGGTCGGCCTCACCGTCAAGCGTGAGGTATTGGGCCAGTGGCCCGTCAATGTGCATCACATCCTCTCCCTCATCCTCCTCTATCGCTATCACATCCCCCTCTTCAGTGCCCACCCCGGTCGGGACCACCCTCCCCTCTCCTTCCCCTGTTGCCCCTATGTCCCCCAAGCCCACCCCGCCTGCTGCCGCTTTACTGCTAGCCCCTTTTGCAGTCTCTGCCGGCCCTGCCGGCCCTGCTGTGTGTTTCCCCGAGTTTGCTGCGGCCCCTGCCGCCCCTACTGGCCGTGCTATGGCCCTCCCTGCTGCTTCAGCTGCAGCCTCACCTTCTGCCTTTGAGGCCCCTGCCGTACCCTCTCTTGCTACAGCCGGGGCGGCACTCTCCCTCGCACCAGTCCCCGTTACCCCCTTCCCCGCTGCACCCGTAGCACCTCCCCCTATACCAGCCCCCGCTGTGGCCTCTGTCGCTCCTGCTGCAGTCCTTGCAGCCTCGACTGCTGCAGTCTGTAAAACCTCGCCTACCGTAATCTGCTCAGCCTCACCAGCCGCGATCCCTGCAGCCTCACGTGCTGCAGTCCCTGCAGCCTCACGTGCTGCAGTCCCTGCAGCCTCACCCGCTGCAGTCCCTGCGGCCTCACCTGCTGCAGTCTGTGCAGCCTCACCTGCTAGAATCTGCTCAACCTCACATGCTGCGGCCTCTGCAGCCTCACCTGCTGCGGCTATTTCAGCCTCACCTGCTGCGCTCCCTGCGGCCTCACCTGCCATGGTCCCGCCTGCAGCCTCATCCGCTGTGGTCCCTGCCGCCTCACCTGCTGCAGTCCCTGCGGCCTCACCTGTTGCAGTCCATGCGACCTCACCAGCTGTAGACTGTGCAGCCTCACCTGCTAGAGTCTGCCCAACCTTACATGATGCAGCCCTCGCAGCCTCACCTGCTGCGTCCGCCGCAGCCTCACCTGCTGTGGCCCCTGCAGTCCCGCCTGCTGCGCTCCCTGCAGCCTCGCCTGCTGCGCTCCCTGCAGCCTCGCTTGCTGCGCTCCCTGCGGCCTCACCTGCTGCGCTCTCTGCAGCCTCACCTGCTGCGCCCCCTACAGCCTCACCTGCTGCGCTCCCCGCAGCCTCACCTACTGCGCTCCCTGCGGCCTCACCTGCCATGGTCCCTCCTGCAGCCTCACCCGTTGTGATCCCTGCAGCCACACCTGCTGTGGTCTGTGCGGCCTCACCTGGTGCGGTCCCTATAGCCTCCTCTGCTGCGGTTCCCCCAGCCGACGCAGCAGCAGGTTCCGTGGCCCCTACTCCTGCAAAACCTGTCTCCATGGCCTCTGCCCTTTGCCTGGCCAGAGTCACGGTCCCTGCCGCCCCTTCCCGTGCAGCCCCTGCCGCCCTTTCCCGTGCAGCCGCTGCTGCCCCTTCCCTTGCAGCCTCTGCTGCCCTTTCCTCTGCAGCCTCTGCTGCCCCTTCCCCCACAACCCCCATTGCCCCTTCCCGTGCAGCCTTTGCTGCCCCATCCTCTGTAGCCTCTGCTGCTCCTTCACACACAAACTCACTTACCCCTTCCCGTGCAGTGTCAGCTGCAAGTTCCCCCCTGGCTCTGCCCTCTCCCGCTTCTATGTGCTTGGGGGTGCGGGTAGGATTAAGTGTTTTCACAAGTAATCTGGTTTGCGAATGGGAGGTAGCGAGTGAGTTGGAGGATCTCTCTACTGAGCATGCATGGGTGCCGCCCCCGCTGTCACCTGAAGGGGGGGTAGACTGGGATGGGGCAGCGGGGGTAGGGCGCGGTTTTGAGCGTGCTGGCTCCTCCTCGTGTATTTCCTCCAGTGGGGCTTGGCGTTCCTCTGTTCCATCCTCTTCAAAGGTACGCTTCTGGCCCCTAGGGTCAGATTGTGTGAGTGTTTTCGCTTGGTCAGGTGTGTGTTGTTTCTTCCTGACTGTTGAAGTGGGGGGAGTGGGAGAGTAGGGGGTGGCTCGGCTGCGGGACCTCCCAGATCGCCGAGGGGCTCCCGGGCCTGCCTTTCCCCCACTCGCGGGGTGCTGGGGCATTGTTACAGAGGCAGCATGCCTGGCGGTGGCGGTGTGAGTTGCTGGGGTTGGCTCAAGAGGGCGTCAAAGGGGGAAGGAACTCCCTGGCAGAGGCCGGGGTGCGGGGGGTTAGCTTGGGGAAAGGGGAAAAGGGTGGGGAAAGCGGTGCGCAGTGGGTGGAAGAGAGGGTAGAGGGGGCCTGACAGTTGGAGGGGATTGGGGCCCAAGGGGGGGGCGGGCTGGGGGCCGATTGAGAGGGGAAGTGTTGGCGGGCTGTAGTGGAGGTGGGGGGGCGGGGGTGGTGTAGCGGTGGGTGAGCAGGGTGTGGGGACAGGTGGTGGGCCAGAGGTGGGGAGGGCAGGGCAGAATTCCACGGGAGGTGGGGGTGGGCAGGTGGAGCCAGGTGGGAAAGGAAGGGTGGGGAACAGAGAGGAAGGGGCAAAGGGTAGTGGGTAGTCGAGTTGGCGTGAGCCTGGTAGCGGGTAATGAGAAGGTTGGGAGGCGGGGGGTGAGAACGTGGGAGGGCAGAGAGGGCACCGAAAGGAGGTGCTGTGGTAAATGCAGGATAGGATGCGGGGCCGGGAAACAGGGGACAGAGGGAATTGGGGAATCGATGAAGGGTGATAGCTGCGGATGGGCGAGCCCCAGGGGGGAGGAAATATGGAGGGTGTTGGAGAAGGGGGAGACTGGGGGGGTTGAGGTAGGGTGTTGGAGGGCACAAGGGGCAGGAACAGGGGGTGCAAAAGTTGGCTGGGGGAGGGAGAGGCGGTCTGGTGCCGCGGAAAGGCGGAGGGAGGTTGGGGACGGCACAGCCCAGGGAGCAAAAGCAAGGGGTGTAGACCTTGGCTGGGGGTAGGAACGGCGGTGTGGAGTTAGGGAGAGGTAGAGGGAGGCTGGGGTAGGTGGCTGGATTGCGCAGGGAGCAGGGGCAGGGGGTGTAGAGATTGGATGGGGGTGGGAAAGGCGGCGTGGTGCCAGGTGGCGGCAGTTGGGTCACCGAAGGGCCTGGCAGGGCGGGATGCAGAGGTGCAGCCCACGCTGGATGCGGAAGTAGCTGGGGGGGAAAGGGAGGCTGGAGGGGGAAGTACGGCTCGTAGAGGTGTGGGGGGCAGAGTGGGAGTGGGGAAAGCAGGAAGGGGGGTGGAGGGACGTTGTGGACAGGGGAGTGGGGGAACATGCGGGTGATGATAGGGAGAAGCCGGGGGGGGGGGGAGAAGGGGGAGGTGGTATGAAGTGGGCAAGGGTGACGCACGGGCAGAGCGCGGCGGTACTAAGGGCAGGGAGACGGGAGGCTGGGGGGAGAAAGGCCTGCTTGGGGGCGTGGTGGGGGATAAGGGGAGAGGGGCGGTAATGCTGGTGGGCAAAAGGGGAGGGTGTGGTGTAGTATGATGAAACAGAATGGGGGGGTGGCGGACTGGGTGGGGCCCTGGAGGGTTGGGAGAACAAGGTGTAAGCTGCCTTTCTGATTTTTCCTGGTTTTTTCGGATTTATATGAATTTCTTTTTCTTTTCTTTTTTCCTTGAAGTTGTTTCCTCTTATTTCCTACGGTTTCCAGAAACAGGGCGGCCTCTGCTAGCTAAGCGCCGTTAGGGAAAGAGGTTAGGTGGCGGGGTGGCTAAAGCGCGCGTGTGAGGGGGAAAGGGGCGGTGTGAGCAGGGAGGTGACTATGTGGGTGGCGACGGGGTAAAATTACGACGTGTGGGTGGCATGCACGACGTGCGCGACGAGGCACGGCAGGGTGGGAGTGAGCAAAAGGGGAGTGGGGCGGCTTGTGTGCCAAACGTGGGCGGCTAAAACGCTCTAGGCAGAAAACGCGCTTCGGGAGGCGCGCAAGGGGAGGGCTGCTTAATCGCTACGAACGTAGCAATTTCGCCTCCCTCCGCGCTGCCTTTCCCTGGCGGTAAGCGCCCCGTGCGCGGTTCCGTCTACGTCGCGGCTAGATTGAACAGGCGGGGAAAACGAGTGCATGACTAAACATGATAGGCGACGAGAAAGCGTGCTTGGAAACGCGCGGCTCTTCGAATTAGGGTTACGATAAAGAAGGGCGCACCGAAAGGGAAGGAAGAGTGCTAACTACGGGCGGAAGCTAAGCTCAGTGACTTCGAGAGAGGGAAACCGCGGGAAAAAACTCGGTAGCAGCTAATCGCTTCGAATAGAAAAGCCGTGAGCAGAAAAGAGCGGGGGGATAAGGGAGAGTGTCGAGAGAGGGGATGGGCGGGAACACCGTGTCTGGCGGAGTTGTGGTTGTGAGTCGCGCGCGCTGTTACACTCCGCGGGCGAACTTCGCGTCAGCGCCCCACCTCCCGTTACACCGGCTGCAGCGCGTCCGCAGCGATCCCGCGATGGCGGGGTCGAACAAACGGTTCCGTAACACCCCGCGAGTTCCGTTTCCGAGACTCCTGAGGGTCGCGCGCGAAACTCGCGACCCCCGTCCCGTCGAACTCGACAGTCGAAACTAAAAAACTAACCGTTGGAAACGCTTATAACTATAACATAAACAACTATCACAATCACTTTGTCCTTAAGCAACTCGAAATAGTAGGTTTAGGAGGCTCCTTAGTAGGCAGCCATGGCTAGGTAAGCTAGGTCAAGGTAAGAGCGCCGGTGGGCGAGAGCAGTACTGGGCTGGGTGACCTCCCGGGAAGTCCTCGTGTTGTACCCATTTATGCCCCTTGCTCGGCACGTGCCGGGGGAGGGGCAAGCGGGAAAAAGAAAGGACGATTTTAGCGCGTCCGATTCTTTTCTTTTCGTTTTTTTTGCCCAAACAACGACCCAGCGGGGTGGGGGGCCCCCGGGGAGGCTTGCCCATGCGAAGAAACGCCCCGTGCGCACCACCGTTGGGCGGTTGGAAGCCGCACACGGTCGCGGGGGTGGAGAGCGGAAACGGGCAGCCGGGGGAGGGTGGGGGCGGTTGGATGGGACTTGGGGTGTACGGGGGGCAGGGGAGTTGAGGGGGCAAGGGGAGGGGCAGCAACGGGCAGGGGCTGGGCCAACTGAGGGCACGGAAAAGGGGCGGGCAGAGGGTGAGCAGAGGGGCGAGCGATGCAAGGGTGGCACCATAGGGGGGAAACCAGTTGCACGGAGGTGGGAGGTGAGGGGCGTGCGAGGGGGTGGGAAAGGGGCAGGGAGGGGCAGAATGGGAGGATGTAGGTGGGGGGGGTGGGGGAGGGGAGTGTGCGTGTGTGTGTGTGTGTGAGAAAGAGAGAGAGAGAGAGAGAGAGAGAGAGAGAGAGGGAGGGGGGGATTGAAGGGTGGGAGGGGGGCTGGTCGTGGGGATGGGCTGATGGTGGTAAGAGGGCAGCAGGGATGGGGAGAAGGGAGCGTAACGAGGGGAGAGCAAAGGGCAGGGGGGGAGGAAGGGAGGGGCAGGGAGGGAAGAGGCTGAACGTACAAAGGGGGGAAACGAGGGGCATGGATGATAGGAAACGAGGGCAGGGGTGTGGGAAATCAAGGGCAGGGAGGAGAGAAGCAATGGGTGAGGGGAAAACAAGGGAGGGGCAGACGGGGGGCAGGGAGGGAAGAAACGTGGGGCAGGGAGGGGAGAAGCCAAAGACAGGGGCATGGGCAGGCGGGGGCAGGGAGGGAGCAAAGGAGAGGCACGGAGAAAGAAAGGGAGGCGCGGGGAGGGGAGAAACCGGGCGTGGGGGGGGGGGGGCGGAAAATGAGGGGCAGGGCGGGGAGGAGGGAGGGGCAGGGAGGGGAGAAGCTGAGCACACGGAGGGGGGAAAGGTGAGGCAGGGAGGTAGGAAGCCAAGGACAAGGGGGGGGGAGAGCGTTGGGGGGGGCAGGGAGAGGGGGGAGGTGGGGAGCGGGGAAAGGCGGCGAGGGGCAGGGAGGGGAGAAACCAAGCATAGGGGGGCGAGATACGAGGGGCAGGGTGCGGATTGAGGAGGGGCAGGGAGTGGAGTGGGTCGGCGAGGGGAAGGAAGAGGCGTGCAGCAGAGGAGGGGAGGGGGGAGGAGAAGGTAAAGGAGGGGAGCGCACGGGCGGGGAGGAGCGAATGGCGGGCGGTGGGAAACGGCGAGGGGGGGCAGGGAGGGTCAAAAGAGGCGGCAAGGGAGCGGGCACGCGGAGGGTAGGGGCGGGGGGAGCGGATGGCATGAGGGGGCAGGGGGTGTGACTATGAAGGGGGGGACCCGGGCAAGGGGTGTGTAGCGGTCGGGGCACGAGGTTGACGTGGTACGATCATACCTCGGCTACTACGCCGGATCCCATCAGAACTCCGAAGCTAAGCGCCGGTGGGCGAGAGCAGTTATTCATTAATAGGGGAAGAGCAAATACAAGCCGAATATAATGGTTTTTCCAAGACTAGGAAATTTCGACATAGCCTAATCGCTATGAGGACGGTATATATATTTTGTAGGAAAAGGGGGAAAGAAAGGAAAGGAAGGAAGGATGAAGGAGTAAGAAGAAGTGGTAGGGAAAAGAAGAGGGCGGTAGGAAGAGAAGGGAAGGATAGAAGAAGGGAACAGAAAGAGGGAGGTGGGAAGAAAAGAGGAGAGAGGGAGAGAGACTAAGGAGGAGGAAGCACCAAAGGACCAAAACACGGCAGCAACCCGCACGACCGCACGGGCACAGCGTTTCAAGCACAGCCACTATCGGTGGGCGAGAGCAGTACTGGGCTGGGTGACCTCCCGGGAAGTCCTCGTGTTGTACCCATTTATGCCCCTTGCTCGGCACGTGCCGGGGGAGGGGCAAGCGGGAAAAAGAAAGGACGATTTTAGCGCGTCCGATTCTTTTCTTTTCGTTTTTTTTGCCCAAACAACGACCCAGCGGGGTGGGGGGCCCCCGGGGAGGCTTGCCCATGCGAAGAAACGCCCCGTGCGCACCACCGTTGGGCGGTTGGAAGCCGCACACGGTCGCGGGGGTGGAGAGCGGAAACGGGCAGCCGGGGGAGGGTGGGGGCGGTTGGATGGGACTTGGGGTGTACGGGGGGCAGGGGAGTTGAGGGGGCAAGGGGAGGGGCAGCAACGGGCAGGGGCTGGGCCAACTGAGGGCACGGAAAAGGGGCGGGCAGAGGGTGAGCAGAGGGGCGAGCGATGCAAGGGTGGCACCATAGGGGGGAAACCAGTTGCACGGAGGTGGGAGGTGAGGGGCGTGCGAGGGGGTGGGAAAGGGGCAGGGAGGGGCAGAATGGGAGGATGTAGGTGGGGGGGGTGGGGGAGGGGAGTGTGCGTGTGTGTGTGTGTGTGAGAAAGAGAGAGAGAGAGAGAGAGAGAGAGAGAGAGAGAGAGGGAGGGGGGGATTGAAGGGTGGGAGGGGGGCTGGTCGTGGGGATGGGCTGATGGTGGTAAGAGGGCAGCAGGGATGGGGAGAAGGGAGCGTAACGAGGGGAGAGCCAAAGGGCAGGGGGGGAGGAAGGGAGGGGCAGGGAGGGAAGAGGCTGAACGTACAAAGGGGGGAAACGAGGGGCATGGATGATAGGAAACGAGGGCAGGGGTGTGGGAAATCAAGGGCAGGGAGGAGAGAAGCAATGGGTGAGGGGAAAACAAGGGAGGGGCAGACGGGGGGCAGGGAGGGAAGAAACGTGGGGCAGGGAGGGGAGAAGCCAAAGACAGGGGCATGGGCAGGCGGGGGCAGGGAGGGAGCAAAGGAGAGGCACGGAGAAAGAAAGGGAGGCGCGGGGAGGGGAGAAACCGGGCGGTGGGGGGGGGGGGGCGGAAAATGAGGGGCAGGGCGGGGAGGAGGGAGGGGCAGGGAGGGGAGAAGCTGAGCACACGGAGGGGGGAAAGGTGAGGCAGGGAGGTAGGAAGCCAAGGACAAGGGGGGGGGGAGAGTGGGGGGGGCAGGGAGAGGGGGGAGGTGGGGAGCGGGGAAAGGCGGCGAGGGGCAGGGAGGGGAGAAACCAAGCATAGGGGGGCGAGATACGAGGGGCAGGGTGCGGATTGAGGAGGGGCAGGGAGTGGAGTGGGTCGGCGAGGGGAAGGAAGAGGCGTGCAGCAGAGGAGGGGAGGGGGGAGGAGAAGGTAAAGGAGGGGAGCGCACGGGCGGGGAGGAGCGAATGGCGGGCGGTGGGAAACGGCGAGGGGGGCAGGGAGGGTCAAAAGAGGCGGCAAGGGAGCGGGCACGCGGAGGGTAGGGGCGGGGGGAGCGGATGGCATGAGGGGGCAGGGGGTGTGACTATGAAGGGGGGGACCCGGGCAAGGGGTGTGTAGCGGTCGGGGCACGAGGTTGACGTGGTACGATCATACCTCGGCTACTACGCCGGATCCCATCAGAACTCCGAAGCTAAGCGCCGGTGGGCGAGAGCAGTTATTCATTAATAAGGGAAGAGCAAATACAAGCCGAATATAATGGTTTTCTCCAAGACTAGGAAATTTCGACATAGCCTAAGCGCTATGAGGACGATTATATATTTTGTAGGAAAAAGGGGGAAAGAAAGGAAAGGAAGGAAAGATGAAGGAGTAAGAAGAAGTGGTAGGGAAAGGAAGAGGGTGGGTAGGAAGAGAAGGGAAGGATAGAAGAAGGGAACAGAAAGAGGGAGGTGGGAAGAGAAGAGGAGAGAGAGAGAGAGACTAAGGAGAAGGAAGCACCAAAGGACCAAACACGGCAGCAACCCGCACGAACCGCACGGGCACAGCGTTTCAAGCACAGCCACTATTGTTTTTTTACACATATGCATCATATATATACTGCATATCAGCCACACTCTCGAAGCACCCTGTGACGTGGTGCCAAGTTCCCTGCCCCGCACCCAGTGGGACTGGTGCGGGCATCCACCCGTCGTCGGACCTCCCTAACTGCCGCACCGCATGCTGGATCATGCATTGAGCCTGCGCGCGCTGCAGTGCAACGGAGAGGCGTGTAGTGAGTCCTGCCTCAAATATCCGTGCCGATCCGTCATCCCCCCCACCTCTATCCCTCCTCCGCTGTGCTATCCTCTTTGCGCAGAGCCCCAGAAACTGACGCAGCGGCTCACTCAGAAGGCCAAAGGTCTCCGCCACGCACGCGTAAAAGTGTGGTGCCGGCTGCAGCCCCTCTAAGTGCGGCCCCCAGTGACGCAGCTTCTCCTGCACCCGCCTAGCTGCTGCCACTCCAATCTGTGTGGGGGTCGCCCGTCTCAGCTGCACGTTCCCCTCCCGCTGTGGATCCGCTATGGAGACATCCACAAGAACCATCAGACCCTGGCCAACGTCGCGGCAGGTGAGGTCTGGAATGCGGGAGGCGGTGCCTACACGGCCTGTGCGTCCGACTGGTCCCTGCTGTTGCGCTGGCTGCTGCCCTGTCTGGTCCCTTGGTGCCCCCTCTCCGATCGTCTCTCTCCCCCTCTCCTCTCCTCCATCCACCTGTCCTCTCCCCTCCCCCTCCCTACCCTCCCCCAAACCTCCCGACCCCCCTGCTCCATCCCCTGCTGCCTCTCTCACTCCCTGGCCCTCCCCTCCCAATCCCGCTGCCCCTCCTGTACCTCCGTCCGCTCTCTGCTGCTCCCGCCCCTGCCCCGCCCCCGAGGCCGAACCTGGAGGCGCGGCGCCCTGGGCCCGCGGCCTCCACTGGCTCTCCTGCTGCTGCCTGTGCCGTCCCCCCTCCCCGTCCTGGCCCGTCTGCTCCCCCTGCCGTCCCCTCTGCCCACCTGTCCCTCGCTCCACCTGACCCCGCAGCTGGTGCCGTCCCCACTGTCCCCCGCCACCCGGCTGTCCCGCCTCGCCTCTCCGCTCCCCCGGTCCCTCAGCCCGTGTCCCCTCTCCCACCACTGGCTGTCCCAGTAGTCTCGCTCGAGCCGCCTCCAACTGTGTGAACAGCGTAGAGTCCTCCACCTTTACCGCGAAGCCCGCCTCGACCGCAAAGTCTCGAAGCATGTACTTCACCGTGTCGTGGATGGTAGTGGCGACCCCGTAACGCGGGCACCGAACCGCGTGATGAGGCACCGTCATGTCGTCAATCGCCTGTCCGCAGGAGCACTGACCTGCAAGGGCTAACTGGGGGATAGGGAGACCAAGACGAGAAGATGAAGCCGCCTGCCACAGCGCCTCCGGGATGCGCAGTGGGTCGGCGTACGGCACCGACGTCAACCACGCTCCTGCACCTCCGCCCTGAAGGGAAGTCAAACGGGCAAGGTGCAAGGGAGAGGTGTGACGGGCACGCACGGCCTCCAAGGCATGCGCCTCCAGAAGACGGCTCGCTCCTGCAAAAAGGGAATCGGGGGAGGCAGAAGCGCAAGAGGGCCAGGGGGGAAGGAGAGAGAGAACGTCAGGAGGGAGACCCTCTAGCGCCGTCTGCAGAGCCCGGTCGATCTGCTCTGGCTCACCTGAAGCGAAGCTCTGCCGAAACACCTCGCCACACGCAGGGAGAGAACAGAGAATGGGTGCACACTGCACCCAGGAGCACACGAAACTCACCGGGGCAATGCGCGCCATGCGACGAATGCCGAAACCCCCGAGACGGATGGGGAGGAAGATCTGGTCTAGGGCGGCCTCTCGGACGTCCTCGCGACAAGCCCAGGTCCCTGAAGCTAAAAGCTGCTGAAAAGTCTCTCCCAGGCGTGCGTCCCACCGTGTAAAACTGGAGATCACTGCGGGCGAAGGAGGGACGGTCCTCGACAGGTACTGCGGACGAGTGCTGACACACGCCGAAAGAAGGCGGGCAGCTGTCTGGGGCTGGCGCAACCTCGGAAGCCAAGGTAGCACCCGCCCCATCCTCTCGAGACGATCCGGGAGACTCTGCTCCACGAACGAAACGGTGCCTACCGGTACGCCTGTCACGGTGAGCCCTCGGCGTGCGACCTCGATCCCTAGGCCCGTGAAAGCCTCCAGATCCCTGGACAGAAAGGACTCTGTCTGGTAGACGAGGCACTTGTGCGGCTGGGCTGCAAGGCCCATCTCGCCCAAGCGCCTCACGATCTCGGCAAAATGGTGCAGCACCCTGTCTGGGGGACCTAGCACGTACGTGTCATCGGCGTACGACCAGAGCTGGACATCCCCCTCCGCCAGAACCGGCTCCAAAGCAAGACGCTGTGTCAGAGCGTACAAGAAGGGGCTGAGAGGGTCTCCCTGGCGAGTGCCCCGCTCCGAGTGCATCGTGACCACTCCCGTGCCTGACCTGTAGTGGAGATCCGAGGGCGTCCCGTAGAAGAGGCCGATGAAGGGGATCAGACACTGAAACTCCGGACTGGCCTGCAGCGCCTGAAACATCCTGTCTCGGTGGAAAGAGTTAAAGGCATTCGCCACGTCTAGCTGCAGGACCACCCAGTCTGGGTGGTCAGCCAGAGCGCGGCGGACGCCTCTAACTACGACCTCTGTCCCGCACGTAACCCCCACCCCAAACTGCTGTGATGCCAAGAAGACCCTCGCCATCTGGTCACGTAGCTGGAGACAAACTGCCCGAGAAAGAATGCGGACCAAAACCTCGCCGATGGCAATCGGCCGAACATCCATGTTCGACTTCGCCAGAGCCACGAGGGTGGAGGACGCTAGCAAGGAGCGCGCAGCTGGAGCGCAACGGCCTCGGAGCCACTGCTGGTACACGGCCAGGAGGAAATGGAGACTCTGAGGGAAAGCTAGGAAAGTGTCTCGCAGGTGCTCAGCGACCCAACCGGACGGTCCTCCCGAAGAGCCCCGCGGAGCTGTGAAAATCGCGCGGCGTAAGTGATCCACCGAGAGCACGAGAGGGGACCCCTGGAAGCCAGACAGCCAAGCTGGGGTCGGCCTCTCCGCGTTGGGGTGCTTCGACTGCAGGCGCTGTATCGTCCCCTGTGTATCTGGGGCTGCCTCCGCGGACTCGAGAGCCGCGCACGCCCGTGAGGTCTCATTGCACGCTGCCAGACGAAGGCAACGTGCAATGCGGCGCTCATCTGCTGCAGAGGGATCGGTGGCGGTGCGTGACCGGTGACCTGTGCGGCGAGGAAGGGGTGTGCGACGGCCTAGTGCATCTGAGACTAGCTCAGCCCACTCACCTCGACCAAAGCGAGAGATGCGCGTTGCAATGGCAGCCGTGTGCGAGCGGTCGGGTGGCGTCGCTGGAACAAGGAAAAGAGTCGGCGCTGCAGCGAGGAGGAAGGTAGGGCCAGCAGCCTCCGGGTCCTGGGCAATGCGGACTAGGATCGCACTGAGGACGTCAAGATATCCTCCGCGGACCCTCTCCGGGACACGTCGGAGAGGGCGTGTATGGATACGCTCGGGCGAGAAGTACTCTGTCCAGTCCACCGAGTCGAGCGTCTGCCACTGTGCGTCGGTGAACTGCATCCCGGTCGCACGGGGCTGTGAGAGGGAAGGGATGATCGAGGCGGTATCATGGGCAGCCTGCGCCCTGCGAGCCGCGTCCGCAGGATGGCAGAAGGGAATGTGGTGCTGGAGCGCGCGTCGGTTCGCGAGAGAGCTCCTGCAGGTGGGGCAACTCACGACCTGGTCGGGTGATGTCGCCGTGTCGGCGGGGTCAATCGGGGCCGTGGCGTCGGAACTGGCTGTAGAGGGGACCCCGTGGGCGGCCTGAGCTCCGAGAGGATCGCCTGGGATGAGGGGAGGAGACGACTCACCAGCCCCGCGCGGGGGGGGTGTCAGCGAAGATAGAGGTGGTGTCGCACAGGATAGGGCCGGGCCTCGTGCCGGTACCGGTGTTGAAGCTGGGGAGGGGGGACGTGGAGGTGAGCCTGAAGTGTGTGCCGTGGTGTGCTCCTGCCCCTCGGCGGGGTGCGGTTCAAGTGACGGCTCTGCTACCCCAGGCGGAGGGGTCTCGGTAGGGGCGGATGCCTCATCCCTACTGCTGGTGACCTCCTGCGCCACGGGCTGAACGGGGGGAGGCGCCACCCCGTCTAGGTGCGAGTGACACGGCCTCAGAACCCGGTCCGTCTCCATTGGGGTCGGGAGTGACGCGCCTGGCTGAGTGGCGGGGGGGATAAAAGAAGGGACAGACCGGGTGACCTCCGCATACGTCCGGGTCCGGTCCTGTGGGACTGGAAGGGTGGGGGCAGCCGGAGAGCTGCTCAGGCGGTGTATCGCCAGCAAATCTGAAATGCCAGCCCTCACCTCCTCTGGGGTCTCGAAGACCTGCCTGCCTGTAGGTGAGAGTAGGAGGGCTGGCAGGGTAGAGGGTGGAGTGGGGCGTGCTGGCTGAGCGGAGCTCGGGTGTGGACCCTGCCCTAGAAGGCCCCCTTGGCCCTCCCCAATCACCATGGGTTGCGGTAGGGGGTCGTCGACATGGAAGGGGTGGGAGGGATGGGAGGGGGAGTCGGTGGCGTCTGCCATGGGCGCATCCCTCAACCCGACGGCCCCCCTCCCAGTAGCGATCGCGGCCGCCGCCACCTGGGAGGGGGACACAGCACGGGAGGGGCAGAATGGGGGTGAGTGGGCTGGTCCGCTCCCATGGCCCTGTGGAGGTGCAGGAGCGGGGCGGGAGTGTAGGTTTGGTGGTCGGGCTGTAGAGGTAGGGCCTGGTAATTGTTCAACGGGATGTGAGGTGGGGAGGGGCTCTTGGTGGGGGAGGGAGGGAGGGGGGAGTACGTGGGCTGACCCTCTGCCTCCTCTGCCCCTGTTCTTCCGCCGGCGGCCAACCTGGTTGTCCGCGCCTGTTTGTGAAGGAAGGGGGGGCTGTGGGGCCAAAGGGGTGGGTGGAGGGAGGATGGGTGGTTCGCCAGGCGGGGGGTGCTCTGTGTGCATCCCCCTCTCTCCTCGAAACATCCCCCTCCGTGGGAACAGATCGGGCAAGCTGTGTGTGGGGGGTGATGGCTGCCCAACGGGGCCACTCGTGGGGAACCCGGCCGGGAGAGGGGGTTGGAGGTGGGGGTCGAGGGGCTGGGCCAGTGTGGAGGTTAGAGCGAGGTACAAACGGTGGGGGGAGAGAGATTTGTGTGGGCTCTGTGGTGGCCTCTCCTGTGGGCCCCTCTACCCGGGTGCCGCCGCTCCCATGAGCCTGGGGCGCAAGCCCTTGCGGGTGGGTCTCGGCTGCCTGGGGGGGGTGGTGTGGGGAGGGCAGCCTGTTGGGTGGGCGTGTTGGGGCTGTGCGGCGACTCGGGTGGTTTGGGTGCCTGTAGCGTGTGGGAGAGGGATTTGGCCGCAGAGATGCTTCAACCTCCGAGATGTGTGTACTACCGGGTGGGGGGGGGCCTGGTGGAGGAGGGGGTAGTGGGCCGGTAAGGGGTGGCTGGGTGTTGGTAGGAGTCGGGGAGCATGGCTCCTCTAGGAAGACCAGAGCCCTGGCTGCTCCACGTGGTGCTCTAAGGAGCCCCTGAGGGTGGGGGCAGAGGTGTGCTGCCCTTGGGGGTGAAGGAAGGAGTGAGGGAAGGGGCGGGGAGGGGTGAGAGGTGAGAGAAGGGGTGCCCTCGGGTGACTCTGCTCTTGTCGCACCCGCGTGCTCTCCCGGTGGACCGCCTGCAACCGTGGGGTCAGGCGTTGGGGACGGAGAGGGGGGCTGGCCATGGAGCAGCGTGGGGGTCGGGGAGCACGGCTCCGCCAAGAAGGCCAGGGCCTTGGCTGCCCCCCTGGACACTACCGGGACCTGAGGGTGGGGGTGGGGAAGTGGTGCTCCTGGGGGCTGGGTGGGCTGGAGGACGGGAGGTGAGGATGGGGGCTCCCTCGCGCGGCTCTGTCCTCAAGGTCTCCCCCAGCCCCTCCATCGGTCCTTCTGCTAGCATGGGGACGGGCATGGGGGGTAGAGGGGGAACCTCGACGTGAGGCTGCAGGGGGGCCGGGTCGGCCTCACCGTCAAGCGTGAGGTATTGGGCCAGTGGCCCGTCAATGTGCATCACATCCTCTCCCTCATCCTCCTCTATCGCTATCACATCCCCCTCTTCAGTGCCCACCCCGGTCGGGACCACCCTCCCCTCTCCTTCCCCTGTTGCCCCTATGTCCCCCAAGCCCACCCCGCCTGCTGCCGCTTTACTGCTAGCCCCTTTTGCAGTCTCTGCCGGCCCTGCCGGCCCTGCTGTGTGTTTCCCCGAGTTTGCTGCGGCCCCTGCCGCCCCTACTGGCCGTGCTATGGCCCTCCCTGCTGCTTCAGCTGCAGCCTCACCTTCTGCCTTTGAGGCCCCTGCCGTACCCTCTCTTGCTACAGCCGGGGCGGCACTCTCCCTCGCACCAGTCCCCGTTACCCCCTTCCCCGCTGCACCCGTAGCACCTCCCCCTATACCAGCCCCCGCTGTGGCCTCTGTCGCTCCTGCTGCAGTCCTTGCAGCCTCGACTGCTGCAGTCTGTAAAACCTCGCCTACCGTAATCTGCTCAGCCTCACCAGCCGCGATCCCTGCAGCCTCACGTGCTGCAGGTCCCTGCAGCCTCACGTGCTGCAGTCCCTGCAGCCTCACCCGCTGCAGTCCCTGCGGCCTCACCTGCTGCAGTCTGTGCAGCCTCACCTGCTAGAATCTGCTCAACCTCACATGCTGCGGCCTCTGCAGCCTCACCTGCTGCGGCTATTTCAGCCTCACCTGCTGCGCTCCCTGCGGCCTCACCTGCCATGGTCCCGCCTGCAGCCTCATCCGCTGTGGTCCCTGCCGCCTCACCTGCTGCAGTCCCTGCGGCCTCACCTGTTGCAGTCCATGCGACCTCACCAGCTGTAGACTGTGCAGCCTCACCTGCTAGAGTCTGCCCAACCTTACATGATGCAGCCCTCGCAGCCTCACCTGCTGCGTCCGCCGCAGCCTCACCTGCTGTGGCCCCTGCAGTCCCGCCTGCTGCGCTCCCTGCAGCCTCGCCTGCTGCGCTCCCTGCAGCCTCGCTTGCTGCGCTCCCTGCGGCCTCACCTGCTGCGCTCTCTGCAGCCTCACCTGCTGCGCCCCCTACAGCCTCACCTGCTGCGCTCCCCGCAGCCTCACCTACTGCGCTCCCTGCGGCCTCACCTGCCATGGTCCCTCCTGCAGCCTCACCCGTTGTGATCCCTGCAGCCACACCTGCTGTGGTCTGTGCGGCCTCACCTGGTGCGGTCCCTATAGCCTCCTCTGCTGCGGTTCCCCCAGCCGACACAGCAGCAGGTTCCGTGGCCCCTACTCCTGCAAAACCTGTCTCCATGGCCTCTGCCCTTTGCCTGGCCAGAGTCACGGTCCCTGCCGCCCCTTCCCGTGCAGCCCCTGCCGCCCTTTCCCGTGCAGCCGCTGCTGCCCCCTTCCCTTGCAGCCTCTGCTGCCCTTTCCTCTGCAGCCTCTGCTGCCCCTTCCCCCACAACCCCCATTGCCCCTTCCCGTGCAGCCTTTGCTGCCCCATCCTCTGTAGCCTCTGCTGCTCCTTCACACACAAACTCACTTACCCCTTCCCGTGCAGTGTCAGCTGCAAGTTCCCCCCTGGCTCTGCCCTCTCCCGCTTCTATGTGCTTGGGGGTGCGGGTAGGATTAAGTGTTTTCACAAGTAATCTGGTTTGCGAATGGGAGGTAGCGAGTGAGTTGGAGGATCTCTCTACTGAGCATGCATGGGTGCCGCCCCCGCTGTCACCTGAAGGGGGGGTAGGACTGGGATGGGCAGCGGGGGTAGGGCGCGGTTTGAGCGTGCTGGCTCCTCCTCGTGTATTTCCTCCAGTGGGGCTTGGCGTTCTCTGTTTCCATCCTCTTCAAAGGTACGCTTCTGGCCCTAGGGTTCAGATTGTGTGAGTGTTTTTCGCTTGGTCAGGTGTGTGTTGTTTCTTCCTGACTGTTGAAGTGGGGGAGTGGGAGAGTAGGGGGTGGCTCGGCTGCGGGACCTCCCAGATCGCCGAGGGGCTCCCGGGCCTGCCTTTCCCCCACTCGCGGGGGTGCTGGGGCATTGTTACAGACGGCAGCATGCCTGGCCTGGTGGCGGTGTGAGTTGCTGGGGTTGGATACTACCGGGACCTGAGGGTGGGGTGCCTGGGGGACGGGAGGTGAGGATGGGGGCTCCCTCGTGCGGCTCTGTCCTCAAGGTCTCCCCCAGCCCCTCCTTCGGTCCTTCTGCTAGCATGGGGACGGGCATGGGGGGTAGAGGGGAACCTCGACGTGAGGCTGCAGGGGGGCCGGGTCGGCCTCACCGTCAGGCGTGAGGTATTGGGCCAGTGGCCCGTCAATGTGCATCACATCCTCTCCCTCATCCTCCTCTATCGCTATCACATCCCCCTCTTCAGTGCCCACCCCGGTCGGGACCACACTCACCTCTCCTTCCCTGTTGCCCTATGTCCTCCGAGCCCACCCCGCCTGCTGCCGCTTTACTGCTAGCCCCTTTTGCAGTCTCTGCCGGCCCTACTGTGTGTTTCCCCGCGTTTGCTGCGGCCCCTGCCGCCCCTACTGGCCGTGCTATGGCCCTCCCTGCTGCTTCAGCTACAGCCTCACCTTCTACCTTTGAGGCCACTGTTGTCCCTTCTCCCACTCTAGCCCCTGCCGTACCCTCTCTTGCTACAGCCGGGGCAGCACTCTCCCTCGCACCAGTCCCCGTTACCCCCTTCCCCGCTGCACCCGTAGCACCTCCCCCTGTACCGGCCCCCACTGTGGCCTCTGTCGCTCCTGCTGCAGTCCTTGCAGCCTCGACTGCTGCAGTCTGTAAAACCTCGCCTGCCGTAATCTGCTCAGCCTCACCAGCCGCGATCCCTGCAGCCTTGCCTGCCGCGGTCCTTGCAGCCTCACGTGCTGCAGTCCCTGCAGCCTCACCTGCTGCAGTCCCTGCGGCCTCACCTGCTGCAGTCTGTGCGGCCTCACCTGCTAGAATCTGCTCAACCTCACATGCTGCGGCCTCTGCAGCCTCACCTGCTGCGGCTATTTCAGCCTCACCTGCTGCGCTCCCTGCGGCCTCACCTGCCCTGGTCCCGCCTGCAGCCTCATCCGCTGTGGTCCCTGCAGCCTCACCTGCTGCAGTCCCTGCGGCCTCACCTGTTGCAGTCCCTGCGACCTCACCAGCTGTAGACTGTGCAGCCTCACCTGCTAGAGTCTGCCCAACCTTACATGATGCAGCCCTCGCAGCCTCACCTGCTGCGTCCGCCGCAGCCTCACCTGCTGCGGCCCCTGCAGCCCCGCCTGCTGCGCTCCCCGCAGCCTCGCCTGCTGCGCTCCCTGCAGCCTCGCCTGCTGCGCTCCCTCCGGCCTCACCTGCTGCGCTCTCTGCAGCCTCACCTGCTGCGCTCCTACAGCCTCACCTGCTGCGCTCCTGCAGCCTCACCTACTGCGCTCCCTGCGGCTTCACCTGCCCTGGTCCCTCCTGCAGCCTCACCCGTTGTGATCCCTGCAGCCACACCTGCTGTGGTCTGTGCGGCCTCGCCTGGTGCGGTCCCTATAGCCTCCTCTGCTGCGGTTCCCCCAGCCGACACAGCAGCAGGTTCCGTGGCCCCTACTCCTGCAAAACCTGTCTCCATGGCCTCTGCCCTTTGCCTGGCCAGAGTCACGGTCCCTGCCGCCCCTTCCCGTGCAGCCTCTGCCGCCCTTTCCCGTGCAGCCGCTGCTGCCCCTTCCCTTGCAGCCTCTGCTGCGTTTTCCCTCTGCAACCTCTGCTGCCCCTTCCCCACAACCCCCATTGCCCCTTCCCGTGCAGCCTTTGCTGCCCCACCCTCTGCAGCCTCTGCTGCTCCTTCGCCCACACATTCACTTACCCCTTTCCGTGCAGTGTTAGCTGCAAGTTCCCCCCTGGCTCTGCCCCCTCCCGCTTCTATGTGCTTGGGGGTGCTAGTAGGATTAAGTGTTTTCACAAGTAATCTGGTTTGCGAATGGGAGGTAGTGAGTGAGTTGGGGGATCTCTCCACTTGGCATGCATGGGTACCGTCCCCGCTGTCACCTGAAGGGGGGGTAGGCTGGGATGGGGCCGCGGGGGTAGGGCGCGGTTTTGAGCGTGCTGGCTCCTCCTTGTGTATTTCCTCCAGTGGGGCTTGGCGTTCCTCTGTTCCATCCTCTTCAAAGGCGCGTGGTGTCAGGTGGCGGCAGTTGGGTCGTAGAAGGGCCTGGCAGGGCAGGATGCAGAGGTGCAGCCCACGCTGGATGCGGAAGTAGCTGGGGGGGAAAGGGAGGCTGGAGGGGGAGGTACGGCTCGTAGAGGTGTGGGGGGCAGAGTGGGAGTGGGGAAGGCAGGAAGGGGGGTGGAGGAGGGACGTTGTGGACAGGGGAGTGGGGGAACATGCGGGTGATGATAGGGAGAAGCCGGGGGGGGGGAGAAGGGGGAGGTGGTATGAAGTGGGCGAGGGTGACGCACGGGCAGAGCGCGGCGGTACTAAGGGCAGGGAGACGGGGGCTGGGGGAGAAAAGCCTGCTTGGGGGCGTGGTGGGGGATAAGGGGAGAGGGGCGGTAATGCTGGTGGGCAAAAGGGGAGGGTGTGGTGCAGTATGATGAAACAGAATGGGGGGTGGCGGACTGGATGGGGCCCTGGAGGGTTGGGAGAACAAGGTGTAAGCTGCCTTTCTGATTTTTCCTGGTTTTTTCCGATTTACTATGAATTTCTTTTTCTTTTCTTTTTTCTTTGAAGTTGTTTCCTCTTATTTCCTACGGTTTCCAGAGACAGGGCGGCCTCTGCTAGCTAAGCGCCGTTAGGGAAAGAGGTTAGGTGGCGGGGTGGCTAAAGCGCGCGTGTGAGGGGGAAAGGGGCGGTGTGAGCAGGAGGTGAATATGTGGGTGGCGACGGGGTAAGATTACGACGTGTGGGTGGCATGCACGAGTGCGCGACGAGGCATGGCAGGGTGGGAGTGAGCAAACGGGGAGTGGGGCGGCTTGTGTGCCAAACGTGGGCGGCTAAAACGCTCTAGGCAGAAAACGCGCTTCGGGAGGCGCGCAAGGGGAGGCTGCTTAATCGCTACGAACGTAGCAATTTCGCCTCCCTCCGCGCTGCCTTTCCCTGGCGGTAAGCGCCCCGTGCGCGGTTCCGTCTACGTCGCGGCTAGATTTAACGGGCGGGGAAAACGATGTGCGTGACTAAACATGATAGGCGACGAGAAAGCGTGCTTGAAAACGCGCGGCTCTTCGAATTAGGGTTTCGATCAAGAAGGGCGCACTGAAAGGGAAGGAAGAATGCTAACTACGGGCGGAAGCTAAGCTCAGTGACTTCGAGAGAGGGAAAACGCGGGAAGAAACTCGGTAGCAGCTAATCGCTTCGAATAGCAAAGCCGTGGGCAGAAAAGAGCGGGGGGATAAGGGAGAGTGTCGAGAGAGGGGATGGGCGGGGAACACCGTGTCTGGCGGAGTTGTGGTTGTGAGTCGCGCGCGCTGTTACACTCCGCGGGCGAACTTCGCGTCAACGCCCCACCTCCCGTTACACCGGCTGCAGAGCGTCCGCAGCCTTCCCGCGATGGCGGGGTCGAACGAGCGGTTCCGTAACACCCCGCGAGTTCCGTTTCCGAGACTCCTGAGGGTCGCGCGCGAAACTCGCGACCCCCGTCCCGTCGAACTCGACAGTCGAAACTGGAAAACTAACCGTTGGAAACGCTTATAACTATAACATAAACAACTATCACAATCACTTTGTCCTTAAGCAACTCGAGATAGTAGGTTTAGGAGGCTTCTTAGTAGGCAGCCATGGCTAGGTAAGCTAGGTCAAGGTAAGAGCGCCGGTGGGCGAGAGCAGTACTGGGCTGGGTGACCTCCCGGGAAGTCCTCGTGTTGTACCCATTTATGCCCCTTGCTCGGCACGTGCCGGGGGAGGGGCAAGCGGGAAAAAGAAAGGACGATTTTAGCGCGTCCGATTCTTTCATTTTGTTTTTTTTTTCCCAAACAACGACCCAGCGGGGTGGGGGGCCCCCGGGGAGGCTTGCCCACTGCGAAGAAACGCCCCGTGCGCACCACCCTTGGGCGGTTGGAAGCCGCACACGGTCGCGGGGGTGGAGAGCGGAAACGGGCAGCCGGGGGAGGGTGGGGGCGGTTGGATGGGACTTGGGGTGTACGGGGGGCAGGGGAGTTGAGGGGGCAAGGGGAGGGGCAGCAACGGGCAGGGGCTGGGCCAACTGAGGGCACGGAAAAGGGGCGGGCAGAGGGTGAGCAGAGGGGCGAGCGATGCAAGGGTGGCACCATAGGGGGGAAACCAGTTGCACGGAGGTGGGAGGTGAGGGGCGTGCGAGGGGGTGGGAAAGGGGCAGGGAGGGGCAGAATGGGAGGATGTACGGGGGGGGGTGGGGGAGGGGAGTGTGCGTGTGTGTGTGTGTGAGAAAGAGAGAGAGAGAGAGAGAGAGAGAGAGAGAGAGCGAGAGAGAGAGAGAGAGAGAGAGAGAGAGGGAGGGGGGGATTGAAGGGTGGGAGGGGGGCTGGTCGTGGGGACTGGGCTGATGGTGGTAAGAGGGCAGCAGGGATGGGGAGAAGGGAGCGTAACGAGGGGAGAGCAAAGGGCAGGGGGGGAGGAAGGGAGGGGCAGGGAGGGAAGGGAAGGGGGAAACGAGGGGCATGGATGATAGGAAACGAGGGCAGGGCTGTGGGAAATCAAGGGCAGGGAGGAGAGAAGCAATGGGTGAGGGGAAAACAAGGGAGGGGCAGACGGGGGGCAGGGAGGGAAGAAACGTGGGGCAGGGAGGGGAGAAGCCAAAGACAAGGGCATGGGCAGGCGGGGGCAGGGAGGGAGCAAAGGAGAGGCACGGAGAAAGAAAGGGAGGCGCGGGGAGGGGAGAAACCGGGCGTGGGGGGGGGCGGAAAATGAGGGGCAGGGCGGGGAGGAGGGAGGGGCAGGGAGGGGAGAAGCTGAGCACACGGAGGGGGGAAAGGTGAGGCAGGGAGGTAGGAAGCCAAGGACAAGGGGGGGGGAGAGTGGGGGGGCAGGGAGAGGGGGGAGGTGGGGAGCGGGGAAAGGCGGCGAGGGGCAGGGAGGGGAGAAACCAAGCATAGGGGGGCGAGATACGAGGGGCAGGGTGCGGATTGAGGAGGGGCAGGGAGTGGAGTGGGTCGGCGAGGGGAAGGAAGAGGCGTGCAGCAGAGGAGGGAAGGGGGGAGGAGAAGGTAAAGGAGGGGAGCGCACGGGCGGGGAGGAGCGAATGGCGGGCGGTTGGAAACGGCGAGGGGGGGCAGGGAGGGTCAAAAGAGGCGGCAAGGGAGCGGGCACGCGGAGGGTAGGGGCGGGGGGAGCGGATGGCATGAGGGGGCAGGGGGTGTGACCACGAAGGGGGGGACCCGGGCAAGGGGTGTGTAGCGGTCGGGGCACGAGGTTGACGTGGTACGATCATACCTCGGCTACTACGCCGGATCCCATCAGAACTCCGAAGCTAAGCGCCAGTGGGCGAGAGCAGCTATTCATTAATAGGGGAAGAGCAAATACAAGCCGAATATAATGGTTTTTCCAAGACTAGGAAATTTCGACATAGCCTAATCGCTATGAGGACGGTATATATATTTTGTAGGAAAAGGGGGAAAGAAAGGAAAGGAAGGAAGGATGAAGGAGTAAGAAGAAGTGGTAGGGAAAAGAAGAGGGTGGTAGGAAGAGAAGGGAAGGATAGAAGAAGGGAACAAAACGAGGGAGGTGGGAAGAGAAGAGGAGAGAGGGAGAGAGACTAAGGAGGGGGAAGCACCAAAGGACCAAAACACGGCAGCAACCCGCACGACCGCACGGGCACAGCGTTTCAAGCACAGCCACTATTGTTTTTTACACATATGCATCATATATATACTGCATATCAGCCACACTCTCGAAGCACCCTGTGACGTGGTGCCAAGTACCCTGCCCCGCACCCAGTGGGACTGGTGCGGGCATCCACCCGTCGTCGGATCTCCCTAACTGCCGCACCGCATGCTGGATCATGCATTGAGCCTGCGCGCGCTGCAGTGCAACGGAGAGGCGTGTAGTGAGTCCTGCCTCAAATATCCGTGCCGATCCGTCATCCCCCCCACCTCTATCCCTCCTCCGCTGTGCTATCCTCTTTGCGCAGAGCCCCAGAAACTGACGCAGCGGCTCACTCAGAAGGCCAAAGGTCTCTGCCACGCACACGTAAAAGTGTGGTGCCGGCTGCAGCCCCTCTAAGTGCGGCCCCCAGTGCCGCAGCTTCTCCTGCACCCGCCTAGCTGCTGCCACTCCAATCTGTGTGGGGGTCGCCCGTCTCAGCTGCACGTTCCCCTCCCGCTGTGGATCCGCTATGGAGACATCCACAAGAACCATCAGACCCTGGCCAACGTCGCGGCAGGTGAGGTCTGGGATGCGGGAGGCGGTGCCTACACGGCCTGTGCGTCCGACTGGTCCCTGCTGTTGCGCTGGCTGCTGCCCTGTCTGGTCCCTTGGTGCCTCCTCTCCGATCGTCTCTCTCCCCCTCTCCTCTCCTCCATCCACCTGTCCTCTCCCCTCCCCCTCTCTACCCTCCCCCAACCCTCCCGACCCCCCTGCTCCATCCCCTGCTGCCTCTCTCACTCCTTGGCCCTCCCCTCCCAATCCCGCTGCCCCTCCTGTACCTCCGTCCGCTCTCTGCTGCTCCCGCCCCTGCCCCACCCCCGAGGCCGAACCTGGAGGCGCGGCGCCCTGGGCCCGCGGCCTCCATTGGCTCTCCTGCTGCTGCCTGTGCCGTCTCCCCTCCCCGTCCTTGCCCGTGTGCTCCCCCTGCCGTCCCCTCTGCCCACCTATCCCTCGCTCCACCTGACCCTGCAGCTGGTGCTGTCCCACTGTCCCCCGCCACCCGGCGATCCCGCCTCGCCTCTCTGCTCCCCCGCTCCCTCAGCCCGCGTCCCCTCTCCCACCACTGGTTGTCCCAGTAGTCTCGCTCGAGCCGCCTCCAACTGTGTGAACAGCGTAGAGTCCTCCACCTTTACCGCGAAGCCCGCCTCGACCGCAAAGTCTCGAAGCATGTACTTCACCGTGTCGTGGATGGTAGTGGCGACCCCGTAGCGCGGGCACCGAACCGCGTGATGAGGCACCGTCATGTCGTCAATCGCCTGTCCGCAGGAGCACTGACCTGCAAGGGCTAACTGGGGGATAGGGAGACCAAGACGAGAAGATGAAGCCGTCCTGCCACAGCGCCTCCGGGATGCGCAGTGGGTCAGCGTACGGCACCGACGTCAACCACGCCCCTGCACCTCCGCCCTGAAGGGAGGTCAAACGGGCAAGGTGCAAGGGAGAGGCGTGACGGGCACGCACGGCCTCCAAGGCATGCGCCTCCAGAAGACGGCTCGCTCCTGCAAAAAGGGAATCGGGGGAGGCAGAAGCGCAAGAGGGCCAGGGGGGAAGGAGAGAGAGAACGTCAGGTGGGAGACCCTCTAGCGCCGTCTGCAGAGCCCGGTCGATCTGCTCTGGCTCACCTGAAGCGAAGCTCTGCCGAAACGCCTCGCCACACGCAGGGAGAGAACAGAGAATGGGAGCACACTGCACCCAGGAGCACACGAAACTCACCGGGGCAATGCGTGCCATGCGACAAATGCCGAAACCCCCGAGACGGATGGGGAGGAAGATCTGGTCTAGGGCGGCCTCTCGGACGTCCTCGCGACAAGCCCAGGTCCCTGAAGCTAAAAGCTGCTGAAATGTCTCTCCCAGGCGTGCGTCCCACCGTGTAAAACTAGAGATCACTGCGGGCGAAGGAGGGACGGTCCTCGACAGGTACTGCGGACGAGTGCTGACACACGCCGACAGAAGGCGGGCAGCTGTCTGGGGCTGGCGCAACCTTGGAAGCCAAGGTAGCACCCGCCCCATCCTCTCGAGACGATCCGGGAGACTCTGCTCCACGAACGAAACGGTGCCTACCGGTACGCCTGTCACGGTGAGCCCTCGGCGTGCGACCTCGATCCCTAGGCCCGTGAAGGCCTCCAGATCCCTGGACAGAAAGGACTCTGTCTGGTAGACGAGGCACTTGTGCGGCTGGGCTGCAAGGCCCATCTCGCCCAAGCGCCTCACAATCTCGGCAAAGTGGTGCAGCACCCTGTCTGGGGGACCTAGCACGTACGTGTCATCGGCGTACGACCAGAGCTGGACATCCCCCTCCACCAGAACTGGCTCCAAAGCAAGACGCTGTGTCCAGAGCGTACAAGAAGGGGCTGAGAGGGTCTCCCTGGCGAGTGCCCCGCTCCGAGTGCATCGTGACCACTCCCGTGCCTGACCTGTAGTGGAGATCCGAGGGCGTCCCGTAGAAGAGGCCGATGAAGGGGATCAGGCACTGAAACTCCGGGCTGGCCTGCAGTGCCTGGAACATCCTGTCTCGGTGGAAGGAGTTAAAGGCGTTCGCCACGTCTAGCTGCAAGACCACCCAGTCTGGGTGGTCAGCCAGAGCGCGGCGGACGCCTCTAACTACGACCTCTGTCCCGCACGTAACCCCCACCCCAAACTGCTGTGACGCCAAGAAGACCCTCGCCATCTGGTCACGTAGCTGGAGACAGACTGCACGAGAAAGAATGCGGACCAAAACCTCGCCGATGGCAATCGGCCGAACATCCATGTTCGACTTCGCCAGAGCCACGAGGGTGGAAGACGCTAGCAAGGAGCGCACAGCTGGAGCGCAACGGCCTCGAAGCCACTGCTGGTACACGGCAAGGAGGAAATGGAGACTCTGAGGGAAAGCTAGGAAAGTGTCTCGCAGGTGCTCAGCGACCCAACCGGACGGTCCTCTCGAAGAGCCCCGCGGAGCTGTGAAAATCGCGCGGTGTAAGTGATCCACCGAGAGCACGAGAGGGGACCCCTGGAAGCCTGACTGCCAAGCTGGGGTCGGCCTCTCCGCGTTGGGGTGCTTCGACTGCAGGCGCTGTATCGTCCCCTGTGTATTTGGGGCTGCCTCCGCGGACTCGAGAGCCGCGCACGCCCGTGAGGTCTCATTGCACGCAGCCAGACGAAGGCAACGTGCAATGCGGCGCTCATCTGCTGTAGAGGGATCGGTGGCGGTGCGTGACCGGTGACCTGTGCGCCGAGGAAGGGGTGTGCGACGGCCTAGTGCATCTGAGACTAGCTCAGCCCACTCACCTCGACCAAAGCGGGAGATGCGCGTTGCAATGGCAGCCGTGTGCGAGCGGTCGGGTGGCGTCGCTGGAACAAGGAAAAGAGTCGGCGCTGCAGCGAGGAGGAAGGTAGGGCCAGCAGCCTCCGGGTCCTGGGCAATGCGGACTAGGATCGCACTGAGGACGTCGAGATATCCTCCGCGGACCCTCTCCGGGACACGTCGGAGAGGGCGTGCATGGATACGCTCGGGCGAGAAGTACTCTGTCCAGTCCACCGAGTCGAGCGTCTGCCACTGTGCGTCGGTGAACTGTATCCCGGTTGCACGGGGCTGTGAGAGGGAAGGGATGATCGAGGCGGTATCATGGGCAGCCTGCGCCTTGCGAGCCGCGTCCGCAGGATGGTAGAAGGGAATGTGGTGCTGGAGCGCGCGTCGGTTTGCGAGAGAGCTCCTGCAGGTGGGGCAACTCACGACCTGGTCGGGTGATGTCGCCGTGTCGGCGGGGTCAATCGGGGCCGTGGCGTCGGAACTGGCTGTAGAGGGGACCCAGTGGGCGGCCTGAGCTCCGAGAGGATCGCCTGGGATGAGGGGAGGAGACGACTCACCCGCCCCGTGCGGGGGGGGTGTCAGCGAAGATAGAGGTGGTGTCGCACAGGATAGGGCCGGGCCTCGTGCCGGTACCGGTGTCGAAGCTGGGGAGGGGGGACGTGGAGGTGAGCCTGAAGTGTGTGCCGTGGTGTGCTCCTGCCCCTCGGCGGGGTGCGGTTCAAGTGACGGCTCTGCTACCCCAGGCGGAGGGGTCTCGGTAGGGGCGGATGCCTCATCCCTACTGCTGGTGACCTCCTGCGCCACGGGCTGAACGGGGGGAGGCGCCACCCCATCTAGGTGCGCGTGACATGGCCTCAGAACCTGGTCCGTCTCCATTGGGGTCGGGAGTGACGCGCCTGGCTGAGTGGCGGGGGGGATAAAAGAAGGGACAGACCGGGTGACCTCCGCATACGTCCGGGTCCGGTCCTGTGGGACTGGAAGGGTGGGGGCAGCCGGAGAGCTGCTCGGGCAGTGTATCGCCAGCAAATCTGAAATGCCAGCCCTCACCTCCTCTGGGGTCTCGAAGACCTGCCTGCCTGTGGGTGAGAGTAGGAGGGCTGGCAGGGTGGAGGGTGGAGTGGGGCGTGCTGGCTGAGCGGAGCTCGGGTGTGGACCCTGCCCTAGAAGGCCCCCTTGGCCCTCCCCAATCACCATGGGTTGCGGTGGGGGGTCGTCGACATGGAAGGGGTGGGAGGGATGGGAGGGAGAGTCGGTGGCGTCTTCCATGGGCGCATCCCTCAACCCGACGGCCTCCATCCCAGTAGCGATCGCGGCCACCGCCACCTGGGAGGGGGACACAGCACGAGAGGGGCAGAATGGGGGTGAGTGGGCTGGTCCGCTCCCATGGCCCTGTGGAGGTGCAGGAGCGGGGCGGGAGTGTAGGTTTGGTGGTCGGGCTGTAGAGGTAGGGCCTGGTAAGGGTTCAATGGGATGTGGGGTGGGGAGGGGCTCTTGGTGGGGGAGGGAGGGAGGGGGGAGTACGTGGGCTGACCCTCTGCCTCCTCTGCCCCTATTCTTCCGCCGGCGGCCAACCTGGTTGTCCGCGCCTGTTTGTGAAGGAAGGGGGGGCTGTGGGGCCAAAGGGGTGGGTGGAGGGAGGATGGGTGGTTCGCCAGGCGGGGGGTGCTCTGTGTGCATCCCCTCTCTCCTCGAAACATCCCCGTCCGTGGGAACAGATCGGGCAGGCTGTGTGTGGGGGGTGATGGCTGCCCAACGGGGCCACTCGTGGGGAACCCGGCCGGGAGAGGGGGTTGGAGGTGGGGGTCGAGGGGCTGGGCCAGTGTGGAGGTTAGAGCGAGGTACAAGCGGTGGGGGGAGAGAGATTTGTGTGGGCTCTGTGGTGGCCTCTCCTGTGGGTCCCTCTACCCGGGTGCCGTCGCTCCCATGAGCCTGGGGCGCAAGCCCTTGCGGGTGGGTCTCGGCTGCCTGGGGTGGGTGGTGTGAGGGGGGCAGCCTGTTGGGTGGGCGTGTTGGGGCTGTGCGGCGACTCGGGTGGTTTGGGTGCCTGTAGCGTGTGGGAGAGGGATTTGGCCGTAGAGATGCTTCAACCTCCGAGATGTGTGTACTGCCGGGTGGGGGGGAGCCTGGTGGAGGGGGGGTAGTGGGCCGGTAGGGGGTGGCTGGGTGTTGGTAGGAGTCGGGGAGCATGGCTCCTCTAGGAAGGCCAGAGCCCTGGCTGCTCCACGTGGTGCTCTAAGGAGCCCCTGAGGGTGGGGGCAGAGGTGTGCTGCCCTTGGGGGTGAGGGAAGGAGTGAGGGAAGGGGCGGGGAGGGGTGAGAGGTGAGAGAAGGGGTGCCCTCGGGTGACTCTGCTCTGGTCGCACCCGCGTGCTCTCCCGGTGGACCGCCTGCAACCGTGGGGTCAGGCGTTGGGGACGGAGGGGGGGGCTGGCCATGGAGCAACGTGGGGGTCGGGGAGCACGGCTCCGCCAAGAAGGCCAGGGCCTTGGCTGCCCCCCTGGATACTACCGGGACCTGAGGGTGGGGGTGGGGAAGTGGTGCTCCTGGGGGTGGGTGGGCTGGAGGACGGGAGGTGAGGATGGGGGCTCCCTCGCGCGGCTCTGTCCTCAAGGTCTCCCCCAGCCCCTCCATCGGTCCTTCTGCTAGCATGGGGACGGGCATGGGGGGTAGAGGGGGAACCTCGACGTGAGGCTGCAGGGGGGCCGGGTCGGCCTCACCGTCAAGCGTGAGGTATTGGGCCAGTGGCCTGTCAATGTGCATCACATCCTCTCCCTCATCCTCCTCTATCGCTATCACATCCCCCTCTTCAGTGCCCACCCCGGTCGGGACCACACTCACCTCTCCTTCCCCTGTTGCCCCTATGTCCCACGAGCCCACCCCGCTTGCTGCCGCTTTACTGCTAGCCCCTGTTGCAGTCTCTGCCGGCCCTGCTGTGTGTTTCCCCGCGTTTGCTGCGGCCCCTGCCACCCCTACTGGCCGTGCTATGGCCCTCCCTGCTGCTTCAGCTGCAGCCTCACCTTCTGCCTTTGAGGCCACTGCTGTCCCTTCTCCCACTCTAGCCCCTGCCGTACCCTCTCTTGCTACAGCCGGGGCGGCACTCTCCCTCGCACCAGTCCCCGTTGCCCCCTTCCCCGCTGCACCCGTAGCACCTCCCCCTGTACCGGCCCCCACTGTGGCCTCTGTCGCTCCTGCTGCAGTCCTTGCAGCCTCGACTGCTGCAGTCTGTAAAACCTCGCCTACCGTAATCTGCTCAGCCTCACCAGCCGCGATCCCTGCAGCCTTGCCTGCCGCGGCCCCTGCAGCCTCACGTGCTGCAGTCCCTGCAGCCTCACCCACTGCAGTCCCTGCGGCCTCACCTGCTGCAGTCTGTGCAGCCTCACCTGCTAGAATCTGCTCAACCTCACAAGCTGCGGCCTCTGCAGCCTCACCTGCTGCGGCTATTTCAGCCTCACCTGCTGCGCTCCCTGTGGCCTCACCTGCCCTGGTCCCGCCTGCAGCCTCATCCGCTGTGGTCCCTGCAGCCTCACCTGCTGCAGTCCCTGCAGCCTCACCTGTTGCAGTCCCTGCGACCTCACCAGCTGTAGACTGTGCAGCCTCACCTGCTAGAGTCTGCCTAACCTTACATGATGCAGCCCTCGCAGCCTCACCTGCTGCATCCGCCGCAGCCTCACCTGCTGCGGCCCCTGCAGCCCCGCCTGCTGCGCTCCCTGCAGCCTCGCCTGCTGCGCTCCCTGCAGCCTCGCCTGCTGCGCTCCCTGCAGCCTCACCTGCTGCGCTCTCTGCAGCCTCACCTGCTGCGCTCCCTACAGGCTCACCTGCTGCGCTCCCTGCAGCCTCACCTATTGCGCTCCCTGCGGCTTCACCTGCCATGGTCCCTCCTGCAGCCTCACCCGTTGTGATCCCTGCAGCCCCACCTGCTGTGGTCTGTGCGGCCTCGCCTGGTGCGGTCCCTATAGCCTCCTCTGCTGCGGTTCCCCCAGCCGACACAGCAGCAGGTTCCGTGGCCCCTACTCCTGCAAAACCTGTCTCCATGGCCTCTGCCCTTTGCCTGGCCAGAGTCACGGTCCCTGCCGCCCCTTCCCGTGCAGCCTCTGCCGCCCTTTCCCGTGCAGCCGCTGCTGCCCCTTCCCTTGCAGCCTCTGCTGCCCTTTCCTCTGCAACCTCTGCTGCCCCTTCCCCCACAACCCCCATTGCCCCTTCTCGTGCAGCCTTTGCTGCCCCATCCTCTGCAGCCTCTGCTGCTCCTTCGCACACAAATTCACTTACCCCTTCCCGTGCAGTGTTAGCTGCAAGTTCCCCCCTGGCTCTGCCCTCTCCCGCTTCTATGTGCTTGGGGGTGCTAGTAGGATTAAGTGTTTTCACAAGTAATCTGGTTTGCGAATGGGAGGTAGCGAGTGAGTTGGAGGATCTCTCCACTTGGCATGCATGGGTGCCGCCCCCGCTGTCACCTGAAGAGGGGGTAGGCTGGGATGGGGCCGCGGGGGTAGGGCGCGGTTTTGAGCGTGCTGGCTCCTCCTTGTGTATTTCCTCCAGTGGGGCTTGGCGTTCCTCTGTTCCATCCTCTTCAAGGGTATGCTTCTGGCCCCTAGGGTCGGATTGTGTGAGTGTTTTTGCTTGGTCAGGTGTGTGTTGTTTCTTCCTGACTGTTGAAGTGGGGGGAGTGGGAGAGTAGGGGGTGGCTCGGCTGCGGGACCTCCCAGATCGCCGAGGGGCTCCCGGGTCTGCCTTTTCCCCACTCGCGGGGTGCTGGGGCATTGTTACAGAGGCAGCATGCCTGGCGGTGGCGGTGTGAGTTGCTGGAGTTGGCTCAAGAGGGCGTCAAAGGGGGAAGGAACTCCCTGGCAGAGGCCGGGGTGCGGGGGGTTAGCTTGGGGAAATGGAAAAAGGGTGGGGAAAGCGGTGCGCAGTGGGTGGAAGAGAGGGTAGAGGGGGCCTGACAGTTGGAGGGGATTGGGGCCCAAGGGGGGGCGGGCTGGGGGCCGGTTGAGAGGGGAAGTGTTGGCGGGTTGTAGTGGAGGTGGGGGGGCGGGGGTGATGTAGTGGTGGGTGAGCAGGGTGTGGGGACAGGTGGTGGGCCAGAGGTGGGGAGGGCAGGGCAGAATTCCACGGGAGGTGGGGGTGGGCAGGTGGAGCCAAGTGGGGAAGGAAGGGTGGGGAACAGAGAGGAAGGGGCAAAGGGTAGTGGGTAGTCGAGTTGGCGTGGCCTGGTAGCGGGTAATGAGAAGGTTGGGAGGCGGGGGGTGAGAACGTGGGAGGGCCGAGAGGGCACCGAAAGGAGGCGCTGTGGTAAATGCAGAATAGGATGCGGGGCCGGGAAACAGGGGACAGAGGGAATTGGGGAATTGATGAAGGGTGATAACTGCGGATGGGCGAGCCCCAGGGGGGAGGAAATATGGAGGGTGTTGGAGAAGGGGGAGACTGGGGGGGGTTGGGGTAGGGTGTTGGAAGGCACAAGGGGCAGGAACAGGGGGTGCAGAGGTTGGCTGGGGGAGGGAGAGGCGGTCTGGTGCCGCGGAAAGGCGGACGGAGGTTGGGGACGGCACAGCACAGGGAGCAAAAGCAAGGGGTGTAGACCCTGGCTGGGGGTAGGAACGGCGGTGTGGAGTTAGGGAGAGGTAGAGGGAGGCTGGGGTAGGTGGCTGGATTGCGCAGGGAGCAGGGGCAGGGGGTGTAGAGATTGGATGGGGGTGGGAAAGGCGGCGTGGTGTCAGGTGGCGGCAGTTGGGTCGTCGAAGGGCCTGGCAGGGCAGGATGCAGAGGTGCAGCCCACGCTGGATGCGGAAGTAGCTGGGGGGAAAAGGGAGGCTGGAGGGGGAGGTACGGCTCGTAGAGGTGTGGGGGGCAGAGTGGGAGTGGGGAAGGCAGGAGGGGGGGTGGAGGAGGGACGTTGTGGACAGGGGAGTGGGGGAACATGCGGGTGATGATAGGGAGAAGCCGGGGGGGGGAGAAGGGGGAGGTGGTATGAAGTGGGCAAGGGTGACGCACGGGCAGAGCGCGGCGGTACTAAGGGCAGGGAGACGGGGGGCTGGGGGGAGAAAAGCCTGCTTGGGGGCGTGGTGGGGGATAAGGGGAGAGGGGCGGTAATGCTGGTGGGCAAAAGGGGAGGGTGTGGTGCAGTATGATGAAACAGAATGGGGGGGGTGGCGGACTGGATGGGGCCCTGGAGGGTTGGGAGAACAAGGTGTAAGCTGCCTTTCTGATTTCTCCTGGTTTTTTCCGATTTATATGAATTTCTTTTTTCTTTTCTTTTTTCCTTGAAGTTGTTTCCTCTTATTTCCTACGGTTTCCAGAGATAGGGCGGCCTCTGCTAGCTAAGCGCCGTTAGGGAAAGAGGTTAGGTGGCGGGGTGGCTAAAGCGCGCGTGTGAGGGGGAAAGGGGCGGTGTGAGCAGGAAGGTGAATATGTGGGTGGCGACGGGGTAAGATTACGGCGTGTGGGTGGCATGCACGAGTGCGCGACGAGGCATGGCAGGGTGGGAGTGAGCAAAGGGGAGTGGGGCGGCTTGTGTGCCAAACGTGGGCGGCTAAAACGCTCTAGGCAGAAAACGCGCTTCGGGAGGCGCGCAAGGGGAGGGCTGCTTAAACGCTACGAACGCAGCAATTTCGCCTCCCTCCGCGCTGCCTTTCCCTGGCGGTAAGCGCCCCGTGCGCGGTTCCGTCTACGTCGCGGCTAGATTGAACGGGCGGGGAAAAACGAGTGCGTGACTAAACGTGATAGGCGACGAGAAAGCGTGCTTGAAAACAAGCGGCTCTTCGAATTAGGGTTTCGATAAAGAAGGGCGCACTGAAAGGGAAGGAAGAATGCTAACTACGGGCGTAAGCTAAGCTCAGTGACTTCGAAAGAGGGAAACTGCGGGAAGAAACTCGGAAGAATAGCAAAGCCGTGGGCAGAAAAGAGCGGGGGGATAAGGGAGAGTGTCGAGAGAGGGGATGGGCGGGAACACCGTGTCTGGCGGAGTTGTGGTTGTGAGTCGCGCGTGCTGTTGTTACACTCCGCGGGCGAACTTCGTGTCAACGCCCCACCTCCCATTACACCGGCTGCAGCGCGTCCGCAGCCTTCCCGCGATGGCGGGGTCGAACGAGCAGTTCCGTAACACCCTGCGAGTTCCGTTTCCGAGACTCCTGAGGGTCGCGCGCGAAACTCGCGACCCCCGTCCCGTCGAACTCGACAGTCGAAACAAGAAAACTAACCGTTAGAAACGCTTATAACTATAACCTAAACAACTATCACAATCACTTTGTCCTTAAGCAACTCGAAATAGTAGGTTTAGGAGGCTCCTTAGTAGGCAGCCATGGCTAGGTAAGCTAGGTCAAGGTAAGAGCGCCGGTGGGCGAGAGTAGTACTGGGCTGGGTGACCTCCCGGGAAGTCCTCGTGTTGTACCCATTTATGCCCCTTGCTCGGCACGTGCCGGGGGAGGGGCAAGCGGGAAAAAGAAAGGACGATTTTAGCGCGTCCGATTCTTTTCTTTTCGTTTTTTTGCCCAAACAACGACCCAGCGGGGTGGGGGGCCCCCGGGGAGGCTTGCCCATGCGAAGAAACACCCCGTGCGCCCTGTCCTCTGCCCCTAGCCTCTGTCCTTGCCTCTCAGCCATATTTAAGGCCTTCCTAAGGCCGTTCTCTTCTTCATTAGTTTGGCGGCTGGAATTTTCGCTCGCGCCGGCCGCCTTCGGCGGTCGTCGCTCGACGGCGCGGCCTTCGGCCGCGCGAGAGGTGTGGCAAGCGCAAACACAATCGAGTAACAATAAGCAACGACACGCATACACGCAATGGCTGGTCCTACTCGGAACTTGGAACAAATGGCATCAATTGGGCAGCAGGAGCCCGCATCTACATGCGGTGAGCTCCAAGGGCGTGAAGTACGCCCGTCAGGGAGCGCCACAGCTTCCGGACTACAAGCGTGCTTGCGCCGATCGCCGCGGCTCCAAACCCAGCGCGCAAATGCCGCTTCAAGCTCCGTACTGCCTCGTCTAGCTGTCCCACAGCAGCAGCGCCTCTCTCCGCGGGCGCAGCCAGCACAGGCGCCAGCAGCACGGCGAGCTGGTCCGCTGCATCCAAGCAAGTCTCGCGCGGACGGTCGGGGGAACGTCTCTGGAGAGACCACAGGGAGCGAAGAATGGGCAAGGACCTGTATCAGCAGCAAAGCGTGGAGACTCTCGGCAAGACGGTGGAGCTGACCGAGAGTCGACTGAGGAACACGAGTTTGCGGAGGCTGAAGCGCCTCCACCAGGAACTGGTGCGGCTCATCAGCTGCACATTGAGCCGACCCCGCGACACCACCCGCGGCCACGAACTCCACCCCTGCAACAGGCGGAAGCGGCGGTAGCCGCAGACGGGAACCAGGAACGGGCGCCGAGGCGGGAGGAGACGGAGCAGACGGGGCGAGGACGGAAGGAAGGACGGCAGCTACCGGCGGAGGGGCTACAGGAGGCTCAAGGGGACGGGGAGCCTCAAGTGCTGGCGCGGCCTGCAGGGAACTGCTTTGACTCTGTGCCGCCCGCTCCTTGCGCACAGCCCGCGACACCTCCCGCTGGAGATCCGCCATCGTCACAGGCGGACGATACCTCCCGCCACCACCTCGACCGTAGGGGCCCCTCCAGCCCCCATTGCCACCAGGATGGGCAGGCCTGTGTGCCTGCTGCGGTTAGCGCTGGGGAGAATTGCGCCGGCGCCGCGACGTCTCGCGCTCCTGTTGGGGCGCAGGAGAATGGGGGCGGGACTGGCGGCGGTCCGGCGACGGGGGGCGAGACGACTGCACCCCAGGGACCGCCGGCGGCTGAGCAGGAGCAGCCGGGTCGGCGTCAGGAGGAGCATCCATCGGATCAGGGTCGTCAGTGGTGGCGGACGCCGCCTTCGGGGAAGAAGCAGACACAGGCACAGGCACGCCGGGGACCGAAGCAGACGGCACAACGACGCGCGCGACCAACGGGACCGGAGCGAGCAGCTGCTTCCCCAGCAGGCGCGGACACCACCGGTGGAACCGCAGGAGCCAGGTGCGCTGGAGCAGGAGCAGCGGACGGGACAGGCGGAGCCTCAGCGGGAGCAGACGGGCCAGCCGCCCCCCCCCCCCCCCCCCCCTGGGGAGCCACGGGTGCGGGGGGATGAATCTTTTCAGCGTCTGCTAACGAGGGTTTCGGAGCCGGCGGTAGAGGAGGTTTCGAGGCAGTGGTCGCCCTTTCGGGCTCCGACCGAGGCCTGGCGACGACAGCCGACCAGGCGGCAGCGAGCTCTGGCGACGGCTCGTCAGCAGCAGCAATCACCATCTCAAGCGCGGGGAACTCGTGGGACGGAACGGCAAACGGCAAGCGGGATTGGCGGAGGCCCGGAGAATGGTTACCAAGCAGCGGCTAGAGTGGCTTTAACTAATTTGACTACAGCGAATGATGAAGACGAGCGGCAGGATCCCTCTTATATAGAAGAAGCAGCACCTGCTAGCGAGGGCGAAGAGACAGTGGAAGAAGAAGGCAGGGCGAGAAGGAACACAGGCGGATTGACTGTGGTGAGGGAGCAAGCACACTTGGACACGCCCCGTGAGATACGCCCACCGCTCGATGCAGAACGGACGGAGGGGATTCCAACCTCCGCTCCCAGGGCGCGAGGGAATCGCCCAAGAGGAAATCGGCCAGCAGACATTGGGACTGCAACACGCCCAGCCGCTTCGGTCCCCCGCTATTTTTCGCCAGACGACCTCGCGAAGCGGGCAGACCTGTTCGTTGCAATCAGTGCTTGGGATATCACAGCCCTGTGCGACAGTCGCCAGCCTTCACTGTCGCGGCGCTTACCGCCAAATTTGTGTCAGCTGTTCTCACTCGCGATGCTGACGCCGTTACTACACCTCTCACGAGACCCCGAGTCAGAGGCAGGATGGCGCCTGCTGCTATTTCTCCCGCGCCTAACCCTTCGCCAGACCTCGCCTCGCCGCCCGAATCGGACCAAAATCAAAGCTCGTCTGCGAGCTTTCCAGCGTGGCGAATGGGAGCAATTGTATCAGGACGCGGTCGACGCGGTCAACATGCCACCTCTGCCCCGCCACCGTCCCGATGCGACAGGTGTGATCAGCCGGGCTGAGGGTCTAGCGAAACGTGGCAGCCTTCGAAGGGCCGTACTCGCCCTTGAGTCAACCCCTGTCTGCACTCCCAGCCAAGAAATTTTGGAAGAGCTGCGTCGGAAACACCCTCCAGCAGCGAGCGAAGGGGTCACCTGGCCAACCACGAGCGAGTCAACACTTTCAATCGCCCACGCGGAATTCGCCAAGATGTTGGGCAGATGCGAAAATGGAGTTGGAGCGGGGCCTTCTGGGATGACATTTGAGCATTTGCGCGACGCGTCATTCACAAACGCGTTGGTCCAACCCATCTGCACGCCTTGGTTAACACCATCCTGGGTGGAAATCTGCCAGGCCCGGTGGCGACCCTCTTGACCGCATCGCGGCTTATTGCTCTGGCCAAGCCGGGAGGAGGCGCTCGGCCAATCGCGATCGGCAAGTGTTTGACCAGGCTGGCAGCCAAGGCTGCCCTGATGGTGATGGGCGAAGCTGCCCGCGATTTCTTCCTCCCCCTTCAGTATGGAGTGGCAGTGCCAGGTGGCGCCGAAACCGTAATCCACGCGGCCAGAGCTTTTCTGGATTCCAACCCTAACAGCCTGGTATTGCAAGCGGACATACAAAACGCTTTCAACAGTATTTCGCGACAGGCCATCGCCACTGCGTTACACGCCCCCGAACTCTCGCCACTGCTGTCGCTCGTCAAACTAACCTACGGTAACCCGTCGCAGCTGTTCCTGGATTCCAACTACAACTCCGAACCACTGCACAGCGAACGCGGGGTTCGCCAGGGGGACCCACTTGGGCCACTACTGTTTGCAGCGGGGATTCATGCTACACTACGCGACACTGCAGATGCCCACGCTGGGGTACTTTGCTTGGCGTATGCGGACGACGTGACTTTCATAGGGGACTTTGAAGACACTGTAGCAGCATTTACACATTTCACGAGCAAGCTGTCGTGCCTGGGACTTGAGCACAACCCACACAAGTGCGCCGCCTGGAATTCGAGCGCAGTCCAAGCAGCACGCCTACCTCAAGGGGTCCCCTTAACCAAGGACAGCGTGCAATTACTTGGCAGTTTCATTGGGCCTGATAGCGGCGCGACGACTTTCCTAACTAGGCAGCTTGACGAGATGGCCAAGCCGCTAGGACTCATCGAACAGACAGACCCACAGGTTGCGGCACTTCTCATCACCCGCTGCATTTCGAGACGGGTCGCATACCTCACACGGACCACTCCTCTCAACCTCCTGCCCCGTGACAGATGGAGCCAGTGGGGTATGGACCTGCTCACCACGCTCCTCATTGCTTGTGACATCCGCACGCCGACCTGCAGGACGGAGCAGACGCGCATCTGGGAGCAGGCGTCGTTACCCCCATCACTAGGAGGCCTCGGAATCACTAATCCCCTCGTCGAAGGGGTTTACGGCTTCGCGGCGAGTTTTACCCAGGCAGCGTTATTCCTCAACGAACTCATGCTGGAAGAGGGGACCGCGCTCTCGTTGGCAAGGAATCATATGCTCCTCCCGCGCGACGTCAGCACTCCACTACACACATGGCTGAGGGGGTGTGAAGCCGCACTGCCAACAGACGCGCTGGAGGTTTTAGAGAAGGAGCGGCTGGAGCGTTCTGACATTCGGCTCCAGCACGTGCTCGGCCTGAAGGTGCACGGGAGCCGGTATGCCGTACAGGTGCAGGCGACGAGGCGAATGGAGTTGAACCCGCTAGCCGGACACACGCAGCAGATGTACTCCCTGACTGGATATGGCACGGGCGACTGGATTACGGCCATCCCAGTGGCTCCCACAAGGCGGATTGGGCCGGTGCATTTCGCCAATGCAGTGCGCTTCCGCCTCGCGCTCCCGTTTTCCACACCTAAAAACTGCGACTGCTCAGAGCACACGGCCATCATTGACCCCCGGCTCCCGAACCAACTTCTCCGGTGCGGCACGGGCAAGCACCGAACTAACACCCACAATGAGCTGCAGGACGCATGCGTAAGCATGGCGCAGGATGCGGGCTTTATAGTACACAGGGAGTCAACGGCCTACTGCCCCATCGAGGAACAAACGGCCGATTTCACAATGTCGGACAGGAGCAGTGGAGCGGTCTACATCTGTGACGTCACGGTCACTGACCCAATTAGCACTAGGGATCCAGAGGCTCAGAAAGGCAGAGGGTGGGCGGCACGTGAGCAGGCCGACAAGAAGATCAAGCACTATGCCAACCGCCCAGAGACCGTTGGCTTCTTACCCCTCGCAGTGGACACTTACGGCTGCCCGTGTGCTGAGGTTCCCGTATTCCTCAAGCTCCTGGCAGACTCGGCGGCCCGGAGGCACTTCAATGCCGACTCCAAATCATTCTATGCAGCCAAGTTCTTGCATCAGTTCCGGCAGCGTTGGTCCGTGGCCCTTCAACGAGCCCAATCCGTGGGGCTTCTGATGAAATTGGGTGAGGCTGCAGCAGCAGAGAATCCTCCTGTGGGGGGCATCGGCAATGAACTGCACCTGGGGGACTGTTTTGCGGTGGTGGAACCACTCCTGGAGATTTAGACTGGGGTATCAGTTGCAGAGGTAGCCTAGGAGATGTAGCCTAGGAGATGTTGCATCAGGTTTCATGTTGCTTGCTTTCTACCTTGCATGTGTGTACCTTCCGGCTCTATCAATACAAGGACCATTAGAGAGAGAGAGGGGGAGGGGGGGATTGAAGGGTGGGAGGGGGGCTGGTCGTGGGGATGGGCTGATGGTGGTAAGAGGGCAGCAGGGATGGGGAGAAGGGAGCGTAACGAGGGGAGAGCAAAGGGCAGGGGGGGAGGAAGGGAGGGGCAGGGAGGGAAGAGGCTGAACGTACAAAGGGGGGAAACGAGGGGCATGGATGATAGGAAACGAGGGCAGGGGTGTGGGAAATCAAGGGCAGGGAGGAGAGAAGCAATGGGTGAGGGGAAAACAAGGGAGGGGCAGACGGGGGGCAGGGAGGGAAGAAACGTGGGGCAGGGAGGGGAGAAGCCAAAGACAGGGGCATGGGCAGGCGGGGGCAGGGAGGGAGCAAAGGAGAGGCACGGAGAAAGAAAGGGAGGCGCGGGGAGGGGAGAAACCGGGCGTGGGGGGGGGGGCGGAAAATGAGGGGCAGGGCGGGGAGGAGGGAGGGGCAGGGAGGGGAGAAGCTGAGCACACGGAGGGGGGAAAGGTGAGGCAGGGAGGTAGGAAGCCAAGGACAAGGGGGGGGAGAGTGGGGGGGCAGGGAGAGGGGGGAGGTGGGGAGCGGGGAAAGGCGGCGAGGGGCAGGGAGGGGAGAAACCAAGCATAGGAGGGCGAGATACGAGGGGCAGGGTGCGGATTGAGGAGGGGCAGGGAGTGGAGTGGGTCGGCGAGGGGAAGGAAGAGGCGTGCAGCAGAGGAGGGGAGGGGGGAGGAGAAGGTAAAGGAGGGGAGCGCACGGGCGGGGAGGAGCGAATGGCGGGCGGTGGGAAACGGCGAGGGGGGGCAGGGAGGGTCAAAAGAGGTGGCAAGGGAGCGGGCACGCGGAGGGTAGGGGCGGGGGGAGCGGATGGCATGAGGGGGCAGGGGGTGTGACTATGAAGGGGGGGACCCGGGCAAGGGGTGTGTAGCGGTCGGGGCACGAGGTTGACGTGGTACGATCATACCTCGGCTACTACGCCGGATCCCATCAGAACTCCGAAGCTAAGCGCCGGTGGGCGAGAGCAGTTATTCATTAATAGGGGAAGAGCAAATACACGCAGAATATAATGGTTTTTCCAAGACTAGGAAATTTCGACATAGCCTAATCGCTATGAGGACGGTATATTTTGTAGGAAAAGGGGGAAAGAAAGGAAAGGAAGGAAGGATGAAGGAGTAAGAAGAAGTGGTAGGTAAAAGAAGAGGGTGGTAGGAAGAGAAGGGAAGGATAGAAGAAGGGAACTGAAAGAGGGAGGTGGGAAGAGAAGAGGAGAGAGGGAGAGAGACTAAGGAGGAGGAAGCACCAAAGGACCACAACACGGCAGCAACCCGCACGACCGCACGGGCACAGCGTTTCAAGCACAGCCACTATTGTTTTTTACACATATGCATCATATATATACTGCATATCAGCCACACTCTCGAAGCACCCCGTGACGTGGTGCCAAGTACCCTGCCCCGCACCCAGTGGGATTGGTGCGGGCATCCACCCGTCGTCGGATCTCCCTAACTGCCGCACCGCATGCTGGATCATGCATTGAGCCTGCGCGCGCTGCAGTGCAACGGAGAGGCGTGTAGTGAGTCCTACCTCAAATATCCGTGCCGATCCGTCATCCCCCCCACCTCTATCCCTCCTCCGCTGTGCTATCCTCTTTGCGCAGAGCCCCAGAAACTGACGCAGCGGCTCACTCAGAAGGCCAAAGGTCTCCGCCACGCACGCGTAGAAGTGTGGTGCCGGCTGCAGCCCCTCTAAATGCGGCCCCTAGTGCCGCAGCTTCTCCTGCACCCGCCTAGCTGCTGCCACTCCAATTTGTGTGGGGGTCGCCCGTCTCAGCTGCACGTTCCCCTCCCGCTGTGGATCCGCTATGGAGACATCCACAAGAACCATCAGACCCTGGCTAACGTCGTGGCAGGTGAGGTCTGGGATGCGGGAGGCCGTGCCTACACGACCTGTGTGTCCGACTGGTCCCTGCTGTTGCGCTGGCTGCTGCCCTGTCTGGTCCCTTGGTGCCTCCTCTCCGATCGTCTCTCTCCCCCTCTCCTCTCCTCCATCCACCTGTCCTCTCCCCTCCCCCTCTCTACCCTCCCCCAACCCTCCCGACCCCCCTGCTCCATCCCCTGCTGCCTCTTTCACTCCCTGGCCCTCCCCTCCCAATCCCGCTGCCCCTCCTGTACCTCCGTCCGCTCTCTGCTGCTCCCGCCCCTGCCCCACCTCCGAGGCCGAACCTGGAGGCGCGGCGCCCTGGGCCCGCGGCCTCCACTGGCTCTCCTGCTGCTGCCTGTGTTGTCTCCCCTCCCCGTCCTGGCCCGTCTGCTCCCCCTGCCGTCCCCTCTGCCCACCTATCCCTCGCTCCACCTGACCCCGCAGCTGGTGCTGTCCCCAATGTCCCCCGCCACCCGGCTGTCCCGCCTCGCCTCTCTGCTCCCCCGGTCCCTCAGCCCGTGTCCCCTCTCCCACCACTGGCTGTCCCAGTAGTCTCACTCGAGCCGCCTCCAACTGTGTGAACAGCGTAGAGTCCTCCACCTTTACCGCGAAGCCCGCCTCGACCGCAAAGTCTCGAAGCATGTACTTCACCGTGTCGTGGATGGTAGTGGCGACCCCGTAGGGCGGGCACCGGACCGCGTGATGAGGCACCGTCATGTCGTCAATCGCCTGTCCGCAGGAGCACTGACCTGCAAGGGCTAACTGGGGGATCGGGAGACCAAGACGAGAAGATGAAGCCGCCTGCCACAGCGCCTCCGGGATGCGCAGTGGGTCAGCGTACGGCACCGACGTCAACCACGCCCCTGCACCTGCGCCCTGAAGGGAAGTCAAACGGGCAAGGTGCAAGGGAGAGGCGTGACGGGCACGCACGGCCTCCAAGGCCTGCGCCTCCAGAAGACGGCTCGCTCCTGCAAAAAGGGAATCGGGGGAGGCAGAAGCGCAGGAGGGCCAGGGGGGAAGGAGAGAGAGAACGTCAGGTGGGAGACCCTCTAGCGCCGTCTGCAGAGCCCGGTCGATCTGCTCTGGCTCACCTGAAGCGAAGCTCTGCCGAAACACCTCGCCACACGCAGGGAGAGAACAGAGAATGGGAGCACACTGCACCCAGGAGCACACGAAACTCACCGGGGCAATGCGTGCCATGCGACGAATGCCGAAACCCCCGAGACGAATGGGGAGGAAGATCTGGTCTAGGGCGGCCTCTCGGACGTCCTCGCGACAAGCCCAGGTCCCTGAAGCTAAAAGCTGCTGAAATGTCTCTCCCAGGCGTGCGTTCCACCGTGTAAAACTAGAGATCACTGCGGGCGAATGAGGGACGGTCCTCGACAGGTACTGCGGACGAGTGCTGACACACGCCGACAGAAGGCGGGCAGCTGTCTGGGGCTGGCGCAACCTCGGAAGCCAAGGTAGCACCCGCCCCATCCTCTCGAGACGATCCGGGAGACTCTGCTCCACGAACGAAACGGTGCCTACCGGTACGCCTGTCACGGTGAGCCCTCGGCGTGCGACCTCGATCCCTAGGCCCGTGAAGGCCTCCAGATCCCTGGACAGAAAGGACTCTGTCTGGTAGACGAGGCACTTGTGCGGCTGGGCTGCAAGGTCCATCTCGCCCAAGCGCCTCACGATCTCGGTAAAGTGGTGCAGCACCCTGTCTGGGGGACCTAGCACGTACGTGTCATCGGCGTACGACCAGAGCTGGACATCCCCCTCCACCAGAACCGGCTCCAAAGCAAGACGCTGTGTCAGAGCGTACAAGAAGGGGCTGAGAGGGTCTCCCTGGCGAGTGCCCCGCTCCGAGTGCATCGTGACCACTCCCGTGCCTGACCTGTAGTGGAGATCCGAGGGCGTCCCGTAGAAGAGGCCGATGAAGGGGATCAGGCACTGAAACTCCAGGCTGGCCTGTAGCGCCTGGAACATCCTGTCTCGGTGGAAGGAGTTAAAGGCATTCGCCACGTCTAGCTGCAGGACCACCCAGTCTGGGTGGTCAGCCAGAGCGCGGCGGACGCCTCTAACTACGACCTCTGTCCCGCACGTAACCCCCACCCCAAACTGCTGTGACGCCAAGAAGACCCTCGCCATCTGGTCACGTAGCTGGAGACAGACTGCACGAGAAAGAATGCGGACCAAAACCTCGCCGATGGCAATCGGCCGAACATCCATGTTCGACTTCGCCAGAGCCACGAGGGTGGAAGACGCTAGCAAGGAGCGCGCAGCTGGAGCGCAACGGCCTCGAAGCCACTGCTGGTACACGGCAAGGAGGAAATGGAGACTCTGAGGGAAAGCTAGGAAAGTGTCTCGCAGGTGCTCAGCGACCCAACCGGACGGTCCTCCCGAAGAGCCCCGCGGAGCTGTGAAGATCGCGCGGCGTAAGTGATCCACCGAGAGCACGAGAGGGGACCCTTGGAAGCCAGACTGCCAAGCTGGGGTCGGCCTCTCCGCGTTGGGGTGCTTCGACTGCAGGCGCTGTATCGTCCCCTGTGTATCTGGGGCTGCCTCCGCGGACTCGAGAGCCGCGCACGCCCGTGAGGTCTCATTGCACGCTGCCAGACGAAGGCAACGTGCAATGCGGCGCTCATCTGCTGTAGAGGGATCGGTGGCGGTGCGTGACCGGTGACCTGTGCGCTGAGGAAGGGGTGTGCGACGGCCTAGTGCATTTGAGACTAGCTCAGCCCACTCACCTCGACCAAAGCGGGAGATGCGCGTTGCAATGGCAGCCGTGTGTGAGCGGTCGGGTGGCGTCGCTGGAACAAGGAAAAGAGTCGGCGCTGCAGCGAGGAGGAAGGTAGGGCCAGCAGCCTCCGGGTCCTGGGCAATGCGGACTAGGATCGCACTGAGGACGTCGAGATATCCTCCGCGGACCCTCTCCGGGACACGTCGGAGAGGGCGTGCATGGATACGCTCGGGCGAGAAGTACTCTGTCCAGTCCACCGAGTCGAGCGTCTGCCACTGTGCGTCGGTGAACTGTATCCCGGTCGCACGGGGCTGTGAGAGGGAAGGGATGATCGAGGCGGTGTCATGGGCAGCCTGCGCCCTGCGAGCCGCGTCCGCAGGATGGCAGAAGGGAAAGTGGTGCTGGAGCGCGCGTCGGTTCGCGAGAGAGCTCCTGCAGGTGGGGCAACTCACGACCTGGTCGGGTGATGTCGCCGTGTCGGCGGGGTCAATCGGGGCCGTGGCGTCGGAACTGGCTGTAGAGGGGACCCCGTGGGCGGCCTGAGCTCCGAGAGGATCGCCTGGGATGAGGGGAGGAGACGACTCACCAGCCCCGTGCGGGGGGGGTGTCAGCGAAGATAGAGGTGGTGTCGCACAGGATAGGGCCGGGCCTCGTGCCGGTACCGGTGTCGAAGCTGGGGAGGGGGGACGTGGAGGTGAGCCTGAAGTGTGTACCGTGGTGTGCTCCTGCCCCTCGGCGGGGTGCGGTTCAAGTGACGGCTCTGCTACCCCAGGCGGAGGGGTCTCGGTAGGGGCGGATGCCTCATCCCTACTGCTGGTGACCTCCTGCGCCACGGGCTGAACGGGGGGAGGCGCCACCCCCTCTAGGTGCGCGTGACACGGCCTCAGAACCTGGTCCGTCTCCATTGGGGTCGGGAGTGACGCGCCTGGCTGAGTGGCGGGGGGGATAAAAGAAGGGACAGACCGGGTGACTTCCGCATACGTCCGGGTCCGGTCCTGTGGGACTGGAAGGGTGGGGGCAGCCGGAGAGCTGCTCGGGCGGTGTATCGCCAGCAAATCTGAAATGCCAGCCCTCACCTCCTCTGGGGTCTCGAAGACCTGCCTGCCTGTAGGTGAGAGTAGGAGGGCTGGCAGGGTAGAGGGTGGAGTGGGGCTTGCTGGCTGAGCGGAGCTCGGGTGTGGACCCTGCCCTAGAAGGCCCCCTTGGCCCTCCCCAATCACCATGGGTTGCGGTAGGGGGTCGTCGACATGGAAGGGGTGGGAGGGATGGGAGGGGGAGTCGGTGGCGTCTTCCATGGGCGCATCCCTCAACCCGACGGCCTCCATCCCCGTAGCGATCGCGGCCGCCGCCACCTGGGAGGGGGACACAGCAAGGGAGGGGCAGAATGGGGGAGAGTGGGCTGGTCCGCTCCCATGGCCCTGTGGAGGTGCAGGAGCGGGGCGGGAGTGTGGGTTTGGTGGTCGGGCTGTAGCGGTAGGGCCTGGTAAGGGTTCAACGGGATGCGGGGTGGGGAGGGGCTCTTGGTGGGGGAGGGAGGGAGGGGGGAGTACGTGGGCTGACCCTCTGCCTCCTCTGCCCCTGTTCTTCCGCCGGCGGCCAACCTGGTTGTCTGCGCCTGTTTGTGAAGGAAGGGGGGGCTGTGGGGCCAAAGGGGTGGTTGGAGGGAGGATGGGTGGTTCGCCGGGCGGGGGGTGCTCTGTGTGCATCCCCTCTCTCCTCGAGGCATCCCCCTCCGTGGGGACAGATCGGGCAGGCTGTGTGTGGGGGGTGATGGCTGCCCAACGGGGCCACTCGTGGGGAACCCGGCCGGGAGGGGGGGTTGAAGGTGGGGGTCGAGGGGCTGGGCCAGTGTGGAGGTTAGAGCGAGGTACAAACGGTGGGGGGAGAGAGGTTTGTGTGGGCTCTGTGGTGGCCTCTCCTGTGGGCCCCTCTACCCGGGTGCCGCCGCTCCCATGAGCCTGGGGCGCAAGCCCTTGCGGGTGGGTCTCGGCTGCCTGGGGGGGGTGGTGTGAGGGGGGCAGCCTGTTGGGTGGGCGTGTTGGGGCTGTGCGGCGACTCGGGTGGTTTGGGTGCCTGTAGCGTGTGGGAGAGGGATTTGGCCGCAGAGATGCTTCAACCTCCGAGATGTGTGTACTACCGGGTGGGGGGGGGCCTGGTGGAGGGGGGGGTAGTGGGCCGGTGGGGGGTGGCTGGGTGTTGGTAGGGGTCGGGGAGCATGGCTCCTCTAGGAAGGCCAGAGCCCTGGCTGCTCCACGTGGTGCTCTAAGGAGCCCCTGAGGGTGGGGGCAGAGGTGTGCTGCCCTTGGGGGTGAGGGGAGGAGTGAGGGAAGGGGCGGGGAGGGGTGAGAGGTGAGAGAAGGGGTGCCCTCGGGTGACTCTGCTCTTGTCGCACCCGCGTGCTCTCCCGGTGGACCGCCTGCAACCGTGGGGTCAGGGGTTGGGGACGGAGAGGGGGGCTGGCCATGGAGCAACGTGGGGGTCGGGGAGCACGGCTCCGCCAAGAAGGCCAGGGCCTTGGCTGCCCCCCTGGATACTACCGGGACCTGAGGGTGGGGGTGGGGAAATGGTGCTCCTGGGGGTGGGTGGGCTGGAGGATGGGAGGTGAGGATGGGGGCTCCCTCGTGCGGCTCTGTCCTCAAGGTCTCCCCCAGCCCCTCCATCGGTCCTTCTGCTAGCATGTGGACGGGCATGGGGGGTAGAGGGGGAACCTCGACGTGAGGCTGCAGGGGGGCCGGGTCGGCCTCACCGTCAGGCGTGAGGTATTGGGCCAGTGGCCCGTCAATGTGCATCACATCCTCTCCCTCATCCTCCTCTATCACTATCACATCCCCCTCTTCCGTGCCCACCCCGGTCGGGACCACACTCACCTCTCCTTCCCCTGTTGCCCCTATGTCCCCCGAGCCCACCCCGCCTGCTGCCGCTTTACTGCTAGCCCCTTTTGCGGTCTCTGCCGGCCCTGCTGTGTGTTTCCCCGCGTTTGCTGCGGGCCCTGCCGCCCCTACTGGCCGTGCTATGGCCCTCCCTGCTGCTTCAGCTGCAGCCTCACCTTCTGCCTTTGAGGCCACTGCTGTCCCTTCTCCCACTCTAGCCCCTGCCGTACCCTCTCTTGCTACAACCGAGGCAGCACTCTCCCTCGCACCAGTCCCCGTTACCCCCTTCCCCGCTGCACCCGTAGCACCTCCCCCTGTACCGGCCCCCACTGTGGCCTCTGTCGCTCCTGCTGCAGTCCTTGCAGCCTCGACTGCTGCAGTCTGTAAAACCTCACCTGCCGTAATCTGCTCAGCCTCACCAGCCGCGGTCCCTGCAGCCTTGCCTGCCGCGGTCCCTGCAGCCTCACGTGCAGCAGTCCCTGCAGCCTCACCTGCTGCAGTCCCTGCGGCCTCACCTGCTGCAGTCTGTGCGGCCTCACCTGCTAGAATCTGCTCAACCTCAACTGCTGCGGCTATTTCAGCCTCACCTGCTGCGCTCCCTGCGGCCTCACCTGCCCTGGTCCCGCCTGCAGCCTCATCCGCTGTGGTCCCTGCAGCCTCACCTGCTGCAGTCCCTGCTGCCTCACCTATTGCAGTCCCTGCGACCTCACCAGCTGTAGACTGTGCAGCCTCACCTGCTAGAGTCTGCCCAACCTTACATGCTGCAGCCCTCGCAGCCTCACCTGCTGCGTCCGCCGCAGCCTCACCTGCTGCGGCCCCTGCAGCCCCGCCTGCTGCGCTCCCCGCAGCCTCGCCTGCTGCGCTCCCTGCAGCCTCGCCTGCTGCGCTCCCTGCGGCCTCACCTGCTGCGCTCTCTGCAGCCTCCCCTACTGCGCTCCCTACAGCCTCACCTGCTGCGCTCCCTGCAGCCTCACCTACTGCGCTCTCTGCGGCTTCACCTGCCATGGTCCCTCCTGCAGCCTCACCCGTTGTGATCCCTGCAGCCACACCTGCTGTGGTCTGTGCGGCCTCGCCTGGTGCGGTCCCTATAGCCTCCTCTGCTGCGGTTCCCCCAGCCAACACAGCTGCAGGTTCCGTGGCCCCTACTCCTGCAAAACCTGTCTCCATGGCCTCTGCCCTTTGCCTGGCTAGAGTCACGGTCCCTGCCGCCCCTTCCCGTGCAGCCTCTGCCGCCCTTTCCCGTGCAGCCGCTGCTGCCCCTTCCCTTGCAGCCTCTGCTGCCCTTTCCTCTGCAACCTCTGCTGCCCCTTCCCCCACAACCCCCATTGCCCCTTCCCGTGCAGCCTTTGCTGCCCCATCCTCTGCAGCCTCTGCTGCTCCTTCGCACACACATTCACTTACCCCTTCCCGTGCAGTGTTAGCTGCAAGTTCCCCCCTGGCTCTGCCCCCTCCCGCTTCTATGTGCTTGGGGGTGCTAGTAGGATTAAGTGTTTTCACAAGTAATCTGGTTTGCGAATGGGAAGTAGCGAGTGAGTTGGGGGATCTCTCCACTTGGCATGCATGGGTGCCGTCCCCGCTGTCACCTGAAGGGGGGGTAGGCTGGGATGGGGCCGCGGGGGTAGGGCGCGGTTTTGAGCGTGCTGGCTCCTCTTTGTGTATTTCCTCCAGTGGGGCTTGGCGTTCCTCTGTTCCATCCTCTTCAAGGGTACGCTTCTGGCCCCTAGGGTCGGATTGTGTGAGTGTTTTCGCTTGGTCAGGTGTGTGTTGTTTCTTCCTGACTGTTGAAGTGGGGGGAGTGGGAGAGTAGGGGGTGGCTCGGCTGCGGGACCTCCCAGATCGCCGAGGGGCTCCCGGGTCTGCCTTTTCCCCACTCGCGGGGTGCTGGGGCATTGTTACGGAGGCAGCATGCCTGGCGGTGGCGGTGTGAGTTGCTGGAGTTGGCTCAAGAGGGCGTCAAAGGGGGAAGGGACTCCCTGGCAGAGGCCGGGGTGCGGGGGGTTAGCTTGGGGAAATGGAAAAAGGGTGGGGAAAGCGGTGCGCAGTGGGTGGAAGAGAGGGTAGAGGGGGCCTGGCAGTTGGAGGGGATTGGGGCCCAAGGGGGGGGCGGGCTGGGGGCCGGTTGAGAGGGGAAGTGTTGGCGGGCTGTAGTGGAGGTGGGGGGGGCGGGGGTGATGTAGTGGTGGGTGAGCAGGGTGTGGGGACAGGTGGTGGGCCAGAGGTGGGGAGGGCAGGGCAGAATTCCACGGGAGGTGGGGGTGGGCAGGTGGAGCCAAGTGGGGAAGGAAGGGTGGGGAACAGAGAGGAAGGGGCAAAGGGTAGTGGGTAGTCGAGTTGGCGTGAGCCTGGTAGCGGGTAATGAGAAGGTTGGAAGGCGGGGGGTGAGAACGTGGGAGAGCCGAGAGGGCACCGAAAGGAGGCGCTGTGGTAAATGCAGAATAGGATGCGGGGCCGGGAAACAGGGGACAGAGGGAATTGGGGAATTGATGAAGGGTGATGACTGCGGATGGGCGAGCCCCAGGGGGGAGGAAATATGGAGGGTGTTGGAGAAGGGGGAGACTGGGGGGGGTTGGGGTAGGGTGTTGGAAGGCACCAGGGGCAGGAACAGGGGGTGCAGAGGTTGGCTGGGGGAGGGAGAGGCGGTCTGGTGCCGCGGAAAGGCGGACGGAGGTTGGGGACGGTACAGCGCAGGGAGCAAAAGCAAGGGGTGTAGACCCTGGCTGGGGGTAGGAACGGCAGTGTGGAGTTAGGGAGAGGTAGAGGGAGGCTGGGGTAGGTGGCTGGATTGCGCAGGGAGCAGGGGCAGGGGGTGTAGAGATTGGATGGGGGTGGGAAAGGCGGCGTGGTGTCGGGTGGCCGCAGTTGGGTCCTCGAAGGGCCTGGCAGGGCAGGATGCAGAGGTGCAGCCCACGCTGGATGCGGAAGTAGCTGGGGGGGAAAAGGGAGGCTGGAGGGGGAGGGACGGCTCGTAGAGGTGTGGGGGGCAGAGTGGGAGTGGGGAAGGCAGGAGGGGGGGTGGAGGAGGGACGTTGTGGACAGTGGAGTGGGGGAACATGCGGGTGATGATAGGGAGAAGCCGGGGGGGGGGGGGGGGGGGGAGAAGGGGGAGGTGGTATGAAGTGGGCGAGGGTGACGCACGGGCGGAGCGCGGCGGTACTAAGGGCACGGAGACGGGGGGCTGGGGGGAGAAAGGCCTGCTTGAGGGCGTGGTGGGGGATAAGGGGAGAGGGGCGGTAATGCTGGTGGGCAAAAGGGGAGGGTGTGGTGTAGTATGATGAAACAGAATGGGGGGGTGGCGGACTGGATGGGGCCCTGGAGGGTTGGGAGAACAAGGTGTAAGCTGCCGTTCTGATTTTTCCTGTTTTTTTTTTCCGATTTATATGAATTTCTTTTTCTTTTCTTTTTTCCTTGAAGTTGTTTCCTCTTATTTCCTACGGTTTCCAGAAACAGGGCGGCCTCTGCTAGCTAAGCGCCGTTAGGGAAAGAGGTTAGGTGGCGGGGTGGCTAAAGCGCGTGTGTGAGGGGGAAAGGGGCGGTGTGAGCAGGGAGGTGACTATGTGGGTGGCGACGGGGTAAGATTACGACGTGTGGGTGGCATGCACGAGTGCGCGACGAGGCATGGCAGGGTGGGAGTGAGCAAAAGGGGAGTGGGGCGGCTTGTGTGCCAAACGTGGGCGGCTAAAACGCTCTAGGCAGAAAACGCGCTTCGGGAGGCGCGCAAGGGGAGGGCTGCTTAAACGCTACGAACGCAGCAATTTCGCCTCCCTCCGCGCTGCCTTTCCCTGGCGGTAAGCGCCCCGTGCGCGGTTCCGTCTACGTTGCGGCTAGATTGAACGGGCGGGGAAAACGAGTGCGTGACTAAACATGATAGGCGACGAGAAAGCGTGCTTGGAAACGCGCGGCTCTTCGAATTAGGGTTTCGATAAAGGAGGGCGCACCGAAAGGGAAGGAAGAGTGCTAACTACGGGCGGAAGCTAAGCTCAGTGACTTCGAGAGAGGGAAACCGCGGGAAAAAACTCGGTATTTGCTAATCGCTTCGAATAGCAAAGCCGTGGGCAGAAAAGAGCGGGGGGATAAGGGAGAGTGTCGAGAGAGGGGATGGGCGGGAACACCGTGTCTGGCGGAGTTGTGGTTGTGAGTCGCGCGCGCTGTTACACTCCGCGGGCGAACTTCGCGTCAACGCCCCACCTCCCGTTACACCGGCTGCAGCGCGTCCGCAGCGATCCCGCGATGGCGGGGTCGAACAAACGGTTCCGTAACACCCCGCGAGTTCCGTTTCCGAGACTCCTGAGGGTCGCGCGCGAAACTCGCGACCCCCGTTCCGTCGAACTCCACAGTCGAAACTGGAAAACTAACCGTTGGAAACGCTTATAACTATAACATAAACAACTATCACAATCACTTTGTCCTTAAGCAACTCGAAATAGTAGGTTTAGGAGGCTCCTTAGTAGGCAGCCATGGCTAGGTAAGCTAGGTCAAGGGCTAAGCGCCAGTGGGCGAGAGCAGTACTGGGCTGGGTGACCTCCCGGGAAGTCCTCGTGTTGTACCCATTTATGCCCCTTGCTCGGCACGTGCCGGGGGAGGGGCAAGCGGGAAAAAGAAAGGACGATTTTAGCGCGTCCGATTCTTTCATTTTCGTTTTTTTGCCCAAACAACGACCCAGCGGGGTGGGGGGCCCCCGGGGAGGCTTGCCCGTGCGAAGAAACGCCCCGTGCGCACCACCGTTGGGCGGTTGGAAGCCGCACACGGTCGCGGGGGTGCAGAGCGGAAACGGGCAGCCGGGGGAGGGTGGGGGCGGTTGGATGGGACTTGGGGTGTACGGGGGGCAGGGGAGTTGAGGGGGCAAGGGGAGGGGCAGCAACGGGCAGGGGCTGGGCCAACTGAGGGCACGGAAAAGGGGCGGGCAGAGGGTGAGCAGAGGGGCGAGCGATGCAAGGGTGGCACCATAGGGGGGAAACCAGTTGCACGGAGGTGGGAGGTGAGGGGCGTGCGAGGGGGTGGGAAAGGGGCAGGGAGGGGCAGAATGGGAGGATGTAGGTGGGGGGGGGTGGGGGAGGGGAGTGTGCGTGTGTGTGTGTGTGTGTGAGAAAGAGAGAGAGAGAGAGAGAGAGGGAGGGGGGGATTGAAGGGTGGGAGGGGGGCTGGTCGTGGGGATGGGCTGATGGTGGTAAGAGGGCAGCAGGGATGGGGAGAAGGGAGCGTAACGAGGGGAGAGCAAAGGGCAGGGGGGGAGGAAGGGAGGGGCAGGGAGGGAAGAGGCTGAACGTACAAAGGGGGGAAACGAGGGGCATGGATGATAGGAAACGAGGGCAGGGGTGTGGGAAATCAAGGGCAGGGAGGAGAGAAGCAATGGGTGAGGGGAAAACAAGGGAGGGGCAGACGGGGGGCAGGGAGGGAAGAAACGTGGGGCAGGGAGGGGAGAAGCCAAAGACAGGGGCATGGGCAGGCGGGGGCAGGGAGGGAGCAAAGGAGAGGCACGGAGAAAGAAAGGGAGGCGCGGGGAGGGGAGAAACCGGGCGTGGGGGGGGCGGAAAATGAGGGGCAGGGCGGGGAGGAGGGAGGGGCAGGGAGGGGAGAAGCTGAGCACACGGAGGGGGGAAAGGTGAGGCAGGGAGGTAGGAAGCCAAGGACAAGGGGGGGGAGAGTGGGGGGGGGCAGGGAGAGGGGGGAGGTGGGGAGCGGGGAAAGGCGGCGAGGGGCAGGGAGGGGAGAAACCAAGCATAGGGGGGCGAGATACGAGGGGCAGGGTGCGGATTGAGGAGGGGCAGGGAGTGGAGTGGGTCGGCGAGGGGAAGGAAGAGGCGTGCAGCAGAGGAGGGGAGGGGGGAGGAGAAGGTAAAGGAGGGGAGCGCACGGGCGGGGAGGAGCGAATGGCGGGCGGTGGGAAACGGCGAGGGGGGGCAGGGAGGGTCAAAAGAGGCGGCAAGGGAGCGGGCACGCGGAGGGTAGGGGCGGGGGGAGCGGATGGCATGAGGGGGCAGGGGGTGTGACTATGAAGGGGGGGACCCGGGCAAGGGGTGTGTAGCGGTCGGGGCACGAGGTTGACGTGGTACGATCATACCTCGGCTACTACGCCGGACCCATCAGAACTCCGAAGCTAAGCGCCGGTGGGCGAGAGCAGATATTCATTATTAGGGGAAGAGCAAATACAAGCCGAATATAATGGTTTTTCCAAGACTAGGAAATTTTGACATAGCCTTATCGCTATGAGGACGGTATATATATTTTGTAGGAAAAGGGGGAAAGAAAGGAAAGGAAGGAAGGATGAAGGAGTAAGAAGAAGTGGTAGGGAAAAGAAGAGGGTGGGAGGAAGAGAAGGGAAGGATAGAAGAAGGGAACTGAAAGAGGGAGGTGGGAAGAGAAAAGGAGAGAGGGAGAGAGACTAAGGAGGAGGAAGCACCAAAGGACCACAACACGGCAGCAACCCGCACGACCGCACGGGCACAGCGTTTCAAGCACAGCCACTATTGTTTTTTACACATATGCATCATATATATACTGCATATCAGCCACACTCTCGAAGCACCCTGTGACGTGGTGCCAAGTACCCTGCCCCGCACCCAGTGGGACTGGTGCGGGCATCCACCCGTCGTCGGATCTCCCTAACTGCCGCACCGCATGCTGGATCATGCATTGAGCCTGCGCGCGCTGCAGTGCAACGGAGAGGCGTGTAGTGAGTCCTGCCTCAAATATCCGTGCCGATCCGTCATCCCCCCCACCTCTATCCCTTCTCCGCTGTGCTATCCTCTTTGCGCAGAGCCCCAGAAACTGACGCAGCGGCTCACTGAGAAGGCCAAAGGTCTCCGCCACGCACGCGTAAAAGTGTGGTGCCGGCTGCAGCCCCTCTAAATGCGGCCCCCAGTGCCGCAGCTTCTCCTGCACCCGCCTAGCTGCTGCCACTCCAATTTGTGTGGGGGTCGCCCGTCTCAGCTGCACGTTCCCCTCCCGCTGTGGATCCGCTATGGAGACATCCACAAGAACCATCAGACCCTGGCTAACGTCGCGGCAGGTGAGGTCTGGGATGCGGGAGGCGGTGCCTACACGGCCTGTGTGTCCGACTGGTCCCTGCTGTTGCGCTGGCTGCTGCCCTGTCTGGTCCCTTGGTGCCTCCTCTCCGATCGTCTCTCTCCCCCTCTCCTCTCCTCCATCCACCTGTCCTCTCCCCTCCCCCTCTCTACCCTCCCCCAACCCTCCCAACCCCCCTGCTCCATCCCCTGCTGCCTCTCTCACTCCCTGGCCCTCCCCTCCCAATCCCGCTGCCCCTCCTGTACCTCCGTCCGCTCTCTGCTGCTCCCGCCCCTGCCCCACCTCCGAGGCCGAACCTGGAGGCGCGGCGCCCTGGGCCCGCGGCCTCCACTGGCTCTCCTGCTGCTGCCTGTGTTGTCTCCCCTCCCCGTCCTGGCCCGTCTGCTCCCCCTGCCGTCCCCTCTGCCCACCTGTCCCTCGCTCCACCTGACCCCGCAGCTGGTGCTGTCCCCAATGTCCCCCGCCACCCGGCTGTCCCGCCTCGCCTCTCTGCTCCCCCGGTCCCTCAGCCCGCGTCCCCTCTCCCACCACTGGCTGTCCCAGTAGTCTCGCTCGAGCCGCCTCCAACTGTGTGAACAGCGTAGAGTCCTCCACCTTTACCGCGAAGCCCGCCTCGACCGCAAAGTCTCGAAGCATGTACTTCACCGTGTCGTGGATGGTAGTGGCGACCCCGTAGCGCGGGCACCGGACCGCGTGATGAGGCACCATCATGTCGTCAATCGCCTGTCCGCAGGAGCACTGACCTGCAAGGGCTAATTGGGGGATCGGGAGGCCAAGACGAGAAGATGAAGCCGCCTGCCACAGCGCCTCCGGGATGCGCAGTGGGTCAGCGTACGGCACCGACGTCAACCACGCCCCTGCACCTCCTCCCTGAAGGGAAGTCAAACGGGCAAGGTGCAAGGGAGAGGCGTGACGGGCACGCACGGCCTCCAAGGCCTGCGCCTCCAGAAGACGGCTCGCTCCTGCAAAAAGGGAATCGGGGGAGGCAGAAGCGCAGGAGGGCCAGGGGGGAAGGAGAGAGAGAACGTCAGGTGGGAGACCCTCTAGCGCCGTCTGCAGAGCCCGGTCGATCTGCTCTGGCTCACCTGAAGCGAAGCTCTGCCGAAACACCTCGCCACACGCAGGGAGAGAACAGAGAATGGGAGCACACTGCACCCAGGAGCACACGAAACTCACCGGGGCAATGCGTGCCATGCGACGAATGCCGAAACCCCCGAGACGAATGGGGAGGAAGATCTGGTCTAGGGCGGCCTCTCGGACGTCCTCGCAACAAGCCCAGGTCCCTGAAGCTAAAAGCTGCTGAAATGTCTCTCCCAGGCGTGCGTTCCACCGTGTAAAACTAGAGATCACTGCGGGCGAATGAGGGACGGTCCTCGACAGGTACTGCGGACGAGTGCTGACACACGCCGACAGAAGGCGGGCAGCTGTCTGGGGCTGGCGCAACCTCGGAAGCCAAGGTAGCACCCGCCCCATCCTCTCGAGACGATCCGGGAGACTCTGCTCCACGAACGAAACGGTGCCTACCGGTACGCCTGTCACGGTGAGCCCTCGGCGTGCGACCTCGATCCCTAGGCCCGTGAAGGCCTCCAGATCCCTGGACAGAAAGGACTCTGTCTGGTAGACGAGGCACTTGTGCGGCTGGGCTGCAAGGCCCATCTCGCCCAAGCGCCTCACGATCTCGGTAAAGTGGTGCAGCACCCTGTCTGGGGGACCTAGCACGTACGTGTCATCGGCGTACGACCAGAGCTGGACATCCCCCTCCACCAGAACCGGCTCCAAAGCAAGACGCTGTGTCAGAGCGTACAAGAAGGGGCTGAGAGGGTCTCCCTGGCGAGTGCCCCGCTCCGAGTGCATCGTGACCACTCCCGTGCCTGACCTGTAGTGGAGATCCGAGGGCGTCCCGTAGAAGAGGCCGATGAAGGGGATCAGGCACTGAAACTCCGGGCTGGCCTGCAGCGCCTGGAACATCCTGTCTCGGTGGAAGGAGTTAAAGGCATTCGCCACATCTGGCTGCAGGACCACCCAGTCTGGGTGGTCAGCCAGAGCGCGGCGGACGCCTCTAACTACGACCTCTGTCCCGCACGTAACCCCCACCCCAAACTGCTGTGACGCCAAGAAGACCCTCGCCATCTGGTCACGTAGCTGGAGACAGACTGCACGAGAAAGAATGCGGACCAAAACCTCGCCGATGGCAATCGGCCGAACATCCATGTTCGACTTCGCCAGAGCCACGAGGGTGGAAGACGCTAGCAAGGAGCGCGCAGCTGGAGCGCAACGGCCTCGAAGCCACTGCTGGTACACGGCAAGGAGGAAATGGAGACTCTGAGGGAAAGCTAGGAAAGTGTCTCGCAGGTGCTCAGCGACCCAACCGGACGGTACTCCCGAAGAGCCCCGCGGAGCTGTGAAGATCGCGCGGCGTAAGTGATCCACCGAGAGCACGAGAGGGGACCTCTGGAAGCCAGACTGCCAAGCTGGGGTCGGCCTCTCCGCGTTGGGGTGCTTCGACTGCAGGCGCTGTATCGTCCCCTGTGTATCTGGGGCTGCCTCCGCGGACTCGAGAGCCGCGCACGCCCGTGAGGTCTCATTGCACGCTGCCAGACGAAGGCAACGTGCAATGCGGCGCTCATCTGCTGTAGAGGGATCGGTGGCGGTGCGTGACCGGTGACCTGTGCGCCGAGGAAGGGGTGTGCGACGGCCTAGTGCATCTGAGACTAGCTCAGCCCACTCACCTCGACCAAAGCGGGAGATGCGCGTTGCAATGGCAGCCGTGTGCGAGCGGTCGGGTGGCGTCGCTGGAACAAGGAAAAGAGTCGGCGCTGCAGCGAGGAGGAAGGTAGGGCCAGCAGCCTCCGGGTCCTGGGCAATGCGGACTAGGATCGCACTGAGGACGTTGAGATATCCTCCGCGGACCCTCTCCGGGACACGTCGGAGAGGGCGTGCATGGATACGCTCGGGCGAGAAGTACTCTGTCCAGTCCACCGAGTCGAGCGTCTGCCACTGTGCGTCGGTGAACTGTATCCCGGTTGCACGGGGCTGTGAGAGGGAAGGGATGATCGAGGCGGTATCATGGGCAGCCTGCGCCCTGCGAGCCGCGTCTGCAGGATGGCAGAAGGGAATGTGGTGCTGGAGCGCGCGTCGGTTCGCGAAAGAGCTCCTGCAGGTGGGGCAACTCACGACCTGGTCGGGTGATGTCGCCGTGTCGGCGGGGTCGATCGGGGCCATGGCGTCGGAACTGGCTGTAGAGGGGACCCCGTGGGCGGCCTGAGCTCCGAGAGGATCGCCTGGGATGAGGGGAGGAGACGACTCACCAGCCCCGTGCGGGGGGGGTGTCAGCGAAGATAGAGGTGGTGTCGCACAGGATAGGGCCGGGCCTCGTGCCGGTACCGGTGTCGAAGCTGGGGAGGGGGGACGTGGAGGTGAGCCTGAAGTGTGTACCGTGGTGTGCTCCTGCCCCTCGGCGGGGTGCGGTTCAAGTGACGGCTCTGCTACCCCAGGCGGAGGGGTCTCGGTAGGGGCGGATGCCTCATCCCTACTGCTGGTGACCTCCTGCGCCACGGGCTGAACGGGGGGAGGCGCCACCCCCTCTAGGTGCGCGTGACACGGCCTCAGAACCCGGTCCGTCTCCATTGGGGTCGGGAGTGACGCGCCTGGCTGAGTGGCGGGGGGGATAAAAGAAGGGACAGACCGGGTGACTTCCGCATACGTCCGGGTCCGGTCCTGTGGGACTGGAAGGGTGGGGGCAGCCGGAGAGCTGCTCGGGCGGTGTATCGCCAGCAAATCTGAAATGCCAGCCCTCACCTCCTCTGGGGTCTCGAAGACCTGCCTGCCTGTAGGTGAGAGTAGGAGGGCTGGCAGGGTAGAGGGTGGAGTGGGGCTTGCTGGCTGAGCGGAGCTCGGGTGTGGACCCTGCCCTAGAAGGCCCCCTTGGCCCTCCCCAATCACCATGGGTTGCGGTAGGGGGTCGTCGACATGGAAGGGGTGGGAGGGATGGGAGGGGGAGTCGGTGGCGTCTTCCATGGGCGCATCCCTCAACCCGACGGCCTCCATCCCCGTAGCGATCGCGGCCGCCGCCACCTGGGAGGGGGACACAGCAAGGGAGGGGCAGAATGGGGGAGAGTGGGCTGGTCCGCTCCCATGGCCCTGTGGAGGTGTAGGAGCGGGGCGGGAGTGTGGGTTTGGTGGTCGGGCTGTAGCGGTAGGGCCTGGTAAGGGTTCAACAGGATGCGGGGTGGGGAGGGGCTCTTGGTGGGGGAGGGAGGGAGGGGGGAGTACGTGGGCTGACCCTCTGCCTCCTCTGCCCCTGTTCTTCCGCCGGCGGCCAACCCGGTTGTCCGCGCCTGTTTGTGAAGGAAGGGGGGGCTGTGGGGCCAAAGGGGTGGTTGGAGGGAGGATGGGTGGTTCGCCGGGCGGGGGGTGCTCTGTGTGCATCCCCTCTCTCCTCGAGACATCCCCCTCCGTGGGGACAGATCGGGCAGGCTGTGTGTGGGGGGTGATGGCTGCCCAACGGGGCCACTCGTGGGGAACCCGGCCGGGAGGGGGGGTTGAAGGTGGGGGTCGAGGGGCTGGGCCAGTGTGGAGGTTAGAGCGAGGTACAAACGGTGGGGGGAGAGGGGTTTGTGTGGGCTCTGTGGTGGCCTCTCCTGTGGGCCCCTCTACCCGGGTGCCGCCGCTCCCATGAGCCTGGGGCGCAAGCCCTTGCGGGTGGGTCTCGGCTGCCTGGGGGGGGTGGTGTGAGGGGGGCAGCCTGTTGGGTGGGCGTGTTGGGGCTGTGCGGCGACTCGGGTGGTTTGGGTGCCTGTAGCGTGTGGGAGAGGGATTTGGCCGCAGAGATGCTTCAACCTCCGAGATGTGTGTACTACCGGGTGGGGGGGGGCCTGGTGGAGGGGGGGGTAGTGGGCCGGTAGGGGGTGGCTGGGTGTTGGTAGGGGTCGGGGAGCATGGCTCCTCTAGGAAGGCCAGAGCCCTGGCTGCTCCACGTGGTGCTCTAAGGAGCCCCTGAGGGTGGGGGCAGAGGTGTGCTGCCCTTGGGGGTGAGGGGAGGAGTGAGGGAAGGGGCGGGGAGGGGTGAGAGGTGAGAGAAGGGGTGCCCTCGGGTGACTCTGCTCTTGTCGCACCCGCGTGCTCTCCCGGTGGACCGCCTGCAACCGTGGGGTCAGGGGTTGGGGACGGAGAGGGGGGCTGGCCATGGAGCAACGTGGGGGTCGGGGAGCACGGCTCCGCCAAGAAGGCCAGGGCCTTGGCTGCCCCCCTGGATACTACCGGGACCTGAGGGTGGGGGTGGGGAAATGGTGCTCCTGGGGGTGGGTGGGCTGGAGGACGGGAGGTGAGGATGGGGGCTCCCTCGTGCGGCTCTGTCCTCAAGGTCTCCCCCAGCCCCTCCATCGGTCCTTCTGCTAGCATGTGGACGGGCATGGGGGGTAGAGGGGGAACCTCGACGTGAGGCTGCAGGGGGGCCGGGTCGGCCTCACCGTCAGGCGTGAGGTATTGGGCCAGTGGCCCGTCAATGTGCATCACATCCTCTCCCTCATCCTTCTCTATCGCTATCACATCCCCCTCTTCCGTGCCCACCCCGGTCGGGACCACACTCACCTCTCCTTCCCCTGTTGCCCCTATGTCCCCCGAGCCCACCCCGCCTGCTGCCGCTTTACTGCTAGCCCCTTTTGCGGTCTCTGCCGGCCCTGTTGTGTGTTTCCCCGCGTTTGCTGCGGCCCCTGCCGCCCCTATTGGCCGTGCTATGGCCCTCCCTGCTGCTTCAGCTGCAGCCTCACCTTCTGCCTTTGAGGCCACTGCTGTCCCTTCTCCCACTCTAGCCCCTGCCGTACCCTCTCTTGCTACAACCGAGGCAGCACTCTCCCTCGCACCAGTCCCCGTTACCCCCTTCCCCGCTGCACCCGTAGCACCTCCCCCTGTACCGGCCCCCACTGTGGCCTCTGTCGCTCCTGCTGCAGTCCTTGCAGCCTCGACTGCTGCAGTCTGTAAAACCTCACCTGCCGTAATCTGCTCAGCCTCACCAGCCGCGGTCCCTGCAGCCTTGCCTGCCGCGGTCCCTGCAGCCTCACGTGCAGCAGTCCCTGCAGCCTCACCTGCTGCAGTCCCTGCGGCCTCACCTGCTGCAGTCTGTGCGGCCTCACCTGCTAGAATCTGCTCAACCTCAACTGCTGCGGCTATTTCAGCCTCACCTGCTGCGCTCCCTGCGGCCTCACCTGCCCTGGTCCCGCCTGCAGCCTCATCCGCTGTGGTCCCTGCAGCCTCACCTGCTGCAGTCCCTGCTGCCTCACCTATTGCAGTCCCTGCGACCTCACCAGCTGTAGACTGTGCAGCCTCACCTGCTAGAGTCTGCCCAACCTTACATGCTGCAGCCCTCGCAGCCTCACCTGCTGCGTCCGCCGCAGCCTCACCTGCTGCGGCCCCTTCCCTTGCAGCCTCTGCTGCCCTTTCCTCTGCAGCCTCTGCTGCCCCTTCCCCCACACCCCCCATTGCCCCTTCCCGTGCAGCCTTTGCTGCCCCATCCTCTGCAGCCTCTGCTGCTCCTTCGCACACACATTCACTTACCCCTTCCCGTGCAGTGTTAGCTGCAAGTTCCCCCCTGGCTCTGCCCCCTCCCGCTTCTATGTGCTTGGGGGTGCTAGTAGGATTAAGTGTTTTCACAAGTTATCTGGTTTGCGAATGGGAAGTAGCGAGAGAGTTGGGGGATCTCTCCACTTGGCATGCATGGGTGCCGTCCCCGCTGTCACCTGAAGGGGGGGTAGGCTGGGATGGGGCCGCGGGGGTAGGGCGCGGTTTTGAGCGTGCTGGCTCCTCCTTGTGTATTTCCTCCAGTGGGGCTTGGCGTTCCTCTGTTCCATCCTCTTCAAGGGTACGCTTCTGGCCCCTAGGATCAGATTGTGTGAGTGTTTTCGCTTGGTCAAGTGTGTGTTGTTTCTTCCTGACTGTTGAAGTGGGGGGAGTGGGAGAGTAGGGGGTGGCTCGGCTGCGGGACCTCCTAGATCGCCGAGGGGCTCCCGGGTCTGCCTTTTCCCCACTCGCGGGGTGCTGGGGCATTGTTACAGAGGCAGCATGCCTGGCGGTGGCGGTGTGAGTTGCTGGAGTTGGCTCAAGAGGGCGTCAAAGGGGGAAGGAACTCCCTGGCAGAGGCCGGGGTGCGGGGGGTTAGCTTGGGGAAATGGAAAAAGGGTGGGGAAAGCGGTGCGCAGTGGGTGGAAGAGAGGGTAGAGGGGGCCTGACAGTTGGAGGGGATTGGGGCCCAAGGGGGGGGCGGGCTGGGGGCCGGTTGAGAGGGGAAGTGTTGGCGGGCTGTAGTGGAGGTGGGGGGGCGGGGGTGATGTAGTGGTGGGTGAGCAGGGTGTGGGGACAGGTGGTGGGCCAGAGGTGGGGAGGGCAGGGCAGAATTCCACGGGAGGTGGGGGTGGGCAGGTGGAGCCAAGTGGGGGAGGAAGGGTGGGGAACAGAGAGGAAGGGGCAAAGGGTAGTGGGTAGTCGGGTTGGCGTGAGCCTGGTAGCGGGTAATGAGAAGGTTGGAGGGCGGGGGGTGAGAACGTGGGAGGTCCGAGAGGGCACCGAAAGGAGGCGCTGTGGTAAATGCAGAGAAAGATGCGGGGCCGGGAAACAGGGGACAGAGGGAATTGGGGAATTGATGAAGGGTGATACCTGCGGATGGGCGAGCCCCAGGGGGGAGGAAATATGGAGGGTGTTGGAGAAGGGGGAGACTGGGGGGGGTTGGGGTAGGGTGTTGGAAGGCACAAGGGGCAGGAACAGGGGGTGCAGAGGTTGGCTGGGGGAGGGAGAGGCGGTCTGGTGCCGCGGAAAGGCGGACGGAGGTTGGGGACGGCACAGCACAGGGAGCAAAAACAAGGGGTGTAGACCCTGGCTGTTATAGTCACAGTAGGCTCCAATGTGCCTAAAACGAAAGATAGAGTGCACAGTCGGATTTCTGCACAGCGGCTTCAAACGTTCATAGCGTTCTGGTGACAGCTTCAAATGACTTGATTCAACTTGGATCTGGAGCGTCTTATTGTCGCCTACAATAGGCAATTTAGATCGCACGATTTGACCAAGTATTGACGACACAGTGTCGGTTTGAACGAACGGCACTATGGCAGCCACTCTAGTCTTAGAACACAAAATAGGAAGAGATCTGAAGAGTTACGAGTTGGGAATGACTCCCAGCTCCTACAAACCCCAAGAGCCGAGGTACAGTGATGTGGAACAGTGCCACACTGTCCCCAACCACGAAGGGTCTCGAAACTACCCTTCACTAGGGCCTACACCAAGTGAAATGTTACACTACACAAAGTAATGTAACTATCTTCAATATCTTGAGGTGTACCCTTTTGGCGAGCTTTGAAATCACTTGAGGCTTGACACCAAGGCTCGGGCTCTTCATCACAAACTCATCCTTGAGTTCTTGATGGGTCTGCTGCACACACCTGCGACACACCGAACGTTCGACACAGGACAAAATAGAAACCGCGCACGACAAAATAGAAACCGCGCGCGAGACACAAACGACCGCGTAACACGCGTCTAGCGATAACTCGCTATTGACCCGACACATACACTCGACATCATGACTCAACATTCACACACAATTATAAGCATGAAATATATATTATCCCATGCCCTCATACCATTCCATACACACACACACATGCACGCACATGGACAACAAGCCGAGTGCAAACCATAGGGTTGCACCAACAAACTCCCCCTCGGATTGTTGGCCCTTCGGATATGTTGCTCTCTCAGTTCAGAGCCATCCCAGCCAGCTTGCAACACTTCCAATGCTGCTGCTCCACCAGCCTCTTGGTCATCATGTCAGCCGGCTGCCCCGTGGTTTTCACGTAGCGCAACTCAACTTCACCCGCGGTTACCATGCTCCTCGTCCAATGCCACTTCACCCTCATGTGCTTCGTGAGTCCATGCAACACAGGGTTCTTAGCAAGAGCAATGGCACCCTGGCTGTCACAATATAGTGGGGTAGGTCCTTGCTGCTCCTCCCCCAATTCAGCCAACAAACGCCGCTGCCACACAATCTCCCGTACGGCACGGAAGAGTGCCATGTACTCGGACTCCACCTGAGCTCAAAGCTTGGTCAACCTGCTTCTTGCTCTCCCAAGCAGTTGGGCCTCCACCAACACAGCATATGAAGCCTCCCACACTTGTCATGTCCTCTGGTTCTGATGCATATGAAGCATCCGAGTAGGCGGTGAGGAACAAACGCCCGGGTTCAACACCATCCGCGCCCTTTTGGCGCCTTTGTGCCGCCGCCGAGTATTGCAGCCCAACGGTCGGTGTTTGGCCAAGGTACTTGGCCACCCTCATTCCAGCTGCTACCTGCTCCTCATTAGGGCATTGCACAACCCTAGCCAGCTGCCCGGTAGCAAACGCGACGTCCGGTCGGGTGTTTACCGCCGCATACATGAGGCTGCCCACCAACGAGTGAAATCGGCGCCTCTCCTCTTCTCCAACGCTCTCCTCCTCTGGCCCCTTCACACACTTGAACCCAGAGGGAAAGGGAGTAGCCACATGACCTTCACTCTGGCCAAAGTTGGCAGCCAACGCCTCCAGGTACTTCCGTTGGTGCACTCGCATGCTCCGCTTCTCCACGTCTCGTTCGATGTGGAGCCCAAGGTAGAAGTTCACGTCACCAAGGGACTTGCACTTGAACTTGTCATGCAGCTTCAGCATCACCTCCTTCACAAGGTCAGAGGAGGGTGAGAATATGAGAATGTCATCCACATAAACCACCATGAAGCTCCTCTGTTCCCCCTCGCCAAGCATGAACAAGGAGTGATCGGCCGTTGAGGGAGTGAAGCCGATCTCCTCCAACACTTCGCGCAGCTTCATGTACCATTGCCTAGGGGCCTGCTTCAGCCCATAGAGGGCCTTCTTCAGCTTCCACACTCTGCCACTACCATCATCAAACCCCTCTGGCTGCGCCATAAAAATCTCCTCCTCAAGGATGCCGTTGAGGAATGCCGTCACAATGTCCATTTGCTTCACCACCCATCCTTTGATGGCGGCTCCCGCGAATAGGGTTCGCAGCGTCGTCGGCTTCACCACAGGGGCAAACAGCTCCTTGAAGTCCACCTTCTCCTTCTGCTGGTACCCCTTGGCTACAAGCCTAGACTTGTAACGCTCGATCTTGCCGTCGGCATCCGACTTGATTTTGAAGAGCCACTTGGACGTTATCGCCGTACGCCCCTCCGGTAGCTCCACCAATTCAAACGTGTCATTCTCCTCGATGCTCTTCAGCTCACTCTCCAATGGCCTTCTTCCACTCCTCAGCATCACTACTCTCCAAAGCCTCCTTGAGAGTTGCTGGTTCTCCTGGCATCTCCACCGGAGAGAAGAACGCGAAGGCACACTCCTCGTAGTCACTCTCCTCGTCGTCTCCGACCATCATTGCCGCTCCGGCCAGGGCTGTCTTGCCTTGCTTTCCAAGTGCATCATAGGTCAGCCTATTAGGGGGTTGAACTCTCCTCTTCCCCCTTCCTTCCTCCTCAGCTGCAGGGACTTGAAGGCCTTGGCGTTGCTGGGGTGTGGCTCGATTCCGTGGAGCACTCGTGGTACGGGAAGGGAGTGACGGTGCACGCTCGCTCACTTGCTGCACCTCCTCCTCTTCTTCCTCTGCATCAGTGGCCTCCTCTCCCCCATGCACAAGGGAGGATTGCCTCGTGGTTGTGCTGCCGCTGCTCAGCTCCAAAGGCAGCTCCACATGCTCCAAACCGGAACTCTTCACCTCCCCAAACCGCACGCCTATCTTCGCCTCATTCTCCGCCTTCCAATCCTTGTACATGAAGTTCTCCATGAACTTGCAGTCCCTGCTCACCAAGAACTTCTTGGTGAATGGGTCCCAAAGAAGCCATCCCTTGCTGTTTTGAGCCATGCCCAAGTGCACGGCCCACACCGCCTTGGCACCAAGCTTGTTGTGCCGAAGATGCTTAGGCACAAGCGCCATGCACATGCACCCGAACACCCGAAGCATATCCACCTTTGGCTTCCTTCCTAGCCACTCCACATAGGGCACCCATTTGTCTGCTCCCACATGAGTCAAGGCTCTGTTCTTGGCCACACATGCGCTCCGCACCGCATCAGGCCAGAAATAGTCGGGTAGCCCGGCTTCAATGAGCAACCCGCGTGCCGCCTCCGTGATTGTGCGGTTCGCTCGCTCAGCGATGCCGTTCATTGCAGGGGAGTATGGCATGGTGAGGGAGTGCCGAATACCATTCTTCTTCAGCCACAACCCAAACTCCTTGCTCAGGAACTCTCCCCCTCGATCGGTGCGGATTGACTTGACTAGACGGTCTTGTTGCCGCTCCACCATCGGGAACCAATCCGCCTTCAACGTTTCAGCCACGTCGCTCTTCTTGGCCAGCACGTACACCCAAGTCATACGGGTGTAGACGTCCACAATAGTGAGGAAGTACTCAGCTCCAGCAGCTCCAAGCTTCAGGGGGCCCACCACGTCCATCACCACCTCATCAAGTGGTGCCTTAGCCGTTGCCTC